AACAAAGCTTAGGTTTGAAACACCACTGTCATCCCTTTCAGGTATTTAGAACACTCCTTTATCAACAGGCTCTCATGTTATGTTGTTTTTCATTTATTTATTTTGTTTTTATCATTGTATTTCTTAATTTCATCTACATTTGTGTGGTTTATTGGAAATTAACTACATTTTTGGGATAAATTTGCCGTTATGAATACACTGAACATCTTATTGTTTTGACCTCTAATTAGTAGGATGCTTGTTGTTAAATCAAAGGCCCCAACCACAAGATACTTTTTTAGGGTAAACGCCGTGGCTTTGTGTAGTTATCTGTCCTCAAATGTACAGACTGAACAGGGATGTGAACAAGACCTCTTAAAACCTCCTGCTGTGTGCACTTTATAAAACATAGTTAAATGGTGTGTATGTGTTTTGTAGTGGCTATGACTTTGGATACCTGATCAAGATTCTGTCCAACGCTAACCTGCCTGAGGAGGAGGTGGACTTCTTTGAGATTCTGCGCCTGTACTTCCCCGTCATTTACGATGTCAAGTACCTCATGAAGAGTTGTAAAAACCTGAAGGTACCTTAATACATATTTCAGCAGGTAGCACAGTGTCTCCTGTTGTGATCTTGTTAGTGGTTTTACTTTGATACAAAGCTTGTATTTTCAGTGACTGTGTGTGTTTTGTTTTCAGGGCGGGCTGCAGGAAGTGGCTGAGCAGCTGGAGCTGGAGAGGATCGGACCGCAGCACCAGGCCGGCTCCGACTCCTTACTCACAGGCATGGCTTTCTTCAAAATGAGAGAGGTAGGCTCCTCCAATCAGGGTGAAGAGTTGTGTATCCAATTTTAATTTCACAAAACCAGCCCAAAGCATAACTTACAGCGATAGCTCGGATTGTTTGAAATTGAGATGACAGAAAAGTGACAAAAGCGATATCAACCACATTTTAAAAAATCATTAAGAGATCAGGCTTAATTGAAAACAATGCACCGATTTACCTTGCCCTCAGACAGCCCTTTCTGACAACCAATTGAAGCTTTTATCTAAACTCTCTTCCACGCAACCACACTCCATTCATTTAAACAGTACATTTTCACTTGCCATGTAAGTTGCTGGTTCACTGATACCCTCATCGGTTAGTTTGAAGCCAACATTGTAATTTATTCCATGTCAAGACGTATTCAGATTATTTACTTAAGTAAAACTATCAATGCTGCAGTGTCAAAATAAGTAAAAAGTCCTTAATTCAGAATTGTACTTAAAGGGCCCATGTCATGGCCATTTCTACTGATCATAATTCCATTGTTGAGGTCTACTAGAATAGATTTATATTGTGCAATTTTCCAAACTCACATTGGTTTCTCATACAGCATCTCTGTAAAGTACGTGTATTCACTCTCTGTCCTACACGGCTTGTTGGAGCTCCGGCCCCCCCCCCCCTCCCTGTGAGCCCACTGTGCTCTGATTGGTCAGCTCGCCCACTCTGTTCTGATGAGTCCACCACCGTTACAGCGGAACATCAGTGATTATGTGTTACAATGACGTTAGCAACCAGAAAATGAGACCAGTAATGACAAACAGATGAGAATGCTGCGTGGGGTCTGGGTGCCGTGTTGGCGGGACGTTGCGCGGCTCGCTGCTGTGAGGAGCGGGCAGTGTGAGCTGGGTTCATTTCCTGCTTGCTGCGTGGGATCTGCGAGACAGCAAGATATCGCGAATGGACGCGGGAAGGGGGGGGTGCTGAGGGGGCTGCAACACCTCCATCTGCGAGGCTCCACTAGCACCCGCACCCCCAAACGCGGCACACCTACAGTGTAAGCTCGCCACAGTTTTGCTGCTGAGAGTGTGTGTGTGTGTGTGTGTGATGGGTCCATTTGGATATGGGCACGTCACCATACCCAGGAAGAAAACAATGGAAAAAGAAATGTCCAACGAGGCGTTCTGGGGCAGCATAGACAGGTCTTTTCTGTGTTAGAGTTTTACTCGCTACAGGGTGTACTTTGAGGGTTTGTGACTCTGCAGACCGTTTACATGCAGAACAAACCTTCATAACACACAAGGGGACGGGTAATAACCGGAAAAGCATGACATGGGACCTTTAAATAAAAGTAAAACATATTTTCATAAAAATGTACTTTTAAGTACCAAAAGCAAAAGCACCATATATATTAAATTATTATATTTTATAATATTATATTGTATTTTTTATGCATTATTGTGTTCATCATCTCAATGTTGCACTTAATAATTTGATGTACTATTGGATAGCTGCACATATAATATATGATCATTTATTATTTGATCTATATTTTGTTTTGATTATCTAAATCAGAAAATGAACAAGTAACTAAGTCTGTAAAATAAATGTAATGGAGTAAAAAGTAGATTGTTTGCCTACCTGATGTAAGACAGTAAAAGTATAAAGTAGCATAAAATGAAAATACTCAAATAATGTACAAGTACCTTCATCTTTTAATGAAATGTACATTCAACCATTGTCTAGTGGAAATATTTGGGACTGATATTAAATACAAAATCAGCGAAAGTGGAAAATGAGTATAATATTTATAATCACTGGTGTGTAATGAGGGCTCCTTATTGTTTGCCATTTTTAATCAAAGGAGATCAGAGCAACTATTCTCTGTGAGTCCCAAGGGTTATAAACAAACTACGATTCATCACATGCACTATGATCCTAAAAGAAAGTGAAAGTGTCTCTTCTCAACATCGTGTGTTTTCATCTTCCACAGATGTTCTTCGAGGATCATATCGACGATGCAAAGTACTGCGGCCACCTGTATGGGCTGGGCTCCGGCTCCACCTACGTCCAGAACGGGACGGGGAACGCTTACGAAGAGGAGGCCAACAAGCAGCAGTCGTGACACCCGCCCCACCGCCCCTCGCCCCGAGGTCCACGTGCACCATCAGTGTGACCCCAACCGGACGACTATCATGATATTGGAATAACAAAAAAGCTCTCGCATCATTTAGCAAGCTGCTTCTCATAGGCTCTGCTCACCTTAGATACATTAAGGAAAGTCACAGCTGTCCTCACACATGCTAGCTTCGTGTGTGTGACTTTTATTCCTTAGAATCGGTGTACACGTTCTGGTGGAGTTTAAAATATTTAAGAGGATGGGATTTTAGTTTTCCTAAAAAGAAACGTTCTGTAGAAATGTTTTGCACTTTAAAAGCTCTAACCTGATTTTATATGGAAAGCTGAAAATGTTTCTGGTGTCTCTCTCCTCTTTGTTGCCTTTTCTACGTTCCCGTTTGACACACAAACCTTTAGTCTCACAACAACCTCGCTCAGCCTTAAAATGAGCTGCTTATATTTTAAACTTTAATTTATTGCGCCCTCTGTCATTGGAGCTTTGTATGATAATGATAAAGGGAGTCAGTGTGTTTACATGCACATGAATGTTTTGTTTGTATTAAGGTGTTTGTTATGTCCTGAATAAGCTCCAATCAGACTAACACAACAACACAGTTTCCTCTTTACTATCTACGTTTTCCGTGTTTATTCTTCGGAGCAATATGGATTATTTGTGCATGTTAGCAGCAAAGCATTATGGTCTTGCAATGATTTCTACTGAATTTAGACCCGAAGAAAGAATGATAAAGTATAAAACCCCTCGTCTGCTGTAAGACACGGTGAGGCTAATCTTGAATACTCTGTTGAGAGTACGTTTTAATTGAGATGATAAGGTTTACTAGAGTTTTAGAGTCGTTATAATGAAGACAAACCTTTTACTCAATGGAAAAAACTACAATTAGTAGTTCTGGCCTTTTGAATGAGTTTCTTTTGTATTGCTTTCCAGTTCATTCATGCTGCGTAGAAGAGCCGCATGTTCTCCTCGTTTGAATAAATGCTGTGTTGTTCTAGTAGTGTCCTGAACTTCCATAGGTGTGTTGAAGTGTAGCTTCAACATGTGTTCACCTCCCTGACCCTCAAACACATCTTTCACACTGTTACGGAGTCAAAAGAAAGATATGCAATATACAAGAGGATTGTTTTTAGATTATTTTGTAAATAAAGGCATGAAACTTTTCTACCATAAATGCTCTCAGCCTTTACATTACTAAACACTTTGAAGTTTAAGCCCTTTTCATATTTTCGGTCTCCTGTCAAAATGCTTATGAGCTCAGTCCTGTACAATCAAGCCATTCACATCATTCTTCTTATACCTTTGAGTTGAGTAGATGAGTTAAGTCATAATATTTGGATACTAATACTACAATTTGTATACTAATACTTATATTAGAAAACCAATGTTAATATTTGTATACTCATACTTACATTCGGATGAGTTGAAAACTAATAATCAAATACTAATATTCTGATAGTTATAGTAATATTTGACTACTAATATTCCTATGAGTTGAAAACTAATATTTGGATACTGTTACTGTTAGGATGACTTGAACATTAATATTCAAATACCAACACTAATATTTGGATAGTTATAGTAATATTCCGATACTTATATTAATATTTGGATACTAGTATTCTGTTACTAATACCAATATTCGGACACTAATACTAATATTTGGGAAATAATACTAATATTCGGATTAGTTCAAAACTAATATTCATACAGTAATAATCTTGTGATACTAATATTTGTAAACTTAACATCAAAATGCGTTTAAAACTAATATTCAAACACTAACATGTATATTTGGATACCAATACTAATATTCCAAAACAAATACTTATATTTGGGTACTAATATTAATATTGTAATACTAAAATTAATAATATTCAGAAACTAATACTTATATCCGGATGAGTTCAAATCTAATGTTAGGATACTAACAGTAATGTTCGTACCCTAATACTAATAATACAAGGATGGTTTGAAAAATAGCATTCTGATACAAATACTAATAATCGGATACTAATACTAATATTCAGACACTAATACTGGTATACGGATACTAATACTAGTACTAAAGTTTGAAAGTGTGACTGTAGTGTGCTCTGTTCTGGAGATATCCTCACTGGAGTGCAACAAAGAGCTGAATCGGGAGGCTGGAGACGAGATCATTTTTATTGTTATAAGGAATCACAACTGTACAGTACATCGCCTCACAAATATTTTCTCTGGAGTCATAGAGAGAGAAGAATAGAAAAATATAGATTGACACTGACTGTCGTAATGAAGCTTTTTTTAAACAAGCATACATTCTACCAATAGTATAACAGCCATTTACAGCCAAAGATAAGAAGAGACTCACAAAGTGAAAATATCCTGTACAAAGCAGCTGGGCCTTTTTTTTTTTTGCTCTGCGGTACATCCACAAATTCCCATTGCGAGTTAGAAAAACACAGGACAGTTTCTGCTTTTTGATGAGGAACAGAGCCGCAGCATTACACCGAAGCTTTGCTCGCCTCCAGAGACGGCGGGGGGCTTCTGTCCGGCAGTTTGACGTGTACCGGGGTACCAGACAGCAGTTTGGATACTTGGCAGGGGAAAACACTGTCACGGCACCTGCAGTGTGACAGCAACATCCTCACTCATGCTATAACCAGTAAGAAGAGCCCTTATTCAAATGGAATTACTAACCTCTACACTTTCTTTTATTTTGTTCAATCCAAGCAAAGGGGGTAACATCTTTCACTACAAATGGGTGTGATTGAGTTGACATCCTGAGATGAGAGCATGCATCAATCCCCCCCCTCCAGAAGTAAATAAATGGCTGAAGAAACATCACTTACATCACATTAACACCACTACTAGTCTATACTCAATGTGCAAACATTTGGCAAACTTATAACAGCATTTATTTGTGTGCTAAGCTACGAGAATGACATAAACAATCCTTATTTTTCTCTAACAGTATCACAATAGCAGCTCAGAATGATCTCCTAGTGTACAAAGTGTTAAAATAACACCCCTCCATAGCTGCTCTGTGCTTATCATGTACAAACGTGATTGTTGTAATGCAATTTGTATTTCAATTCCCGTTCAGAAGCCCCAATACTTTCAGGATAGCAGCAAAAACTGTTGGTGATAGCAAAAAGAGTAATACCGATGATAAGCTTTGCGTAAACCTCTCAGAAGCAAGGTGAATTATGGGAAACAACAATTCTTGATGATGTCATCACCATGTCAAGTTCTGATAGTCACAAACACTGAGGAGGGTGCCGTACACCTGTTGAATGAAAGACATATTATTGTTGATTTAATAACTTGATACGTTTATAGATTCTATGAGACTGTAAACTCACCTCTTCTGGGTTGAAGACGTCTCTTGTTTCTCCACCACAGGTTACGCCTCATGCTCTATGGTCATCGCCTGGTTACTGGCACCTGAATAGACACATGTGCTTCCTGAAGTCATTCAAATGAATAATAATGGTACAAATAATGTAGCCATTGCGCCTAAATGTGGACATTCATTGGTTTTGCTTAATAAAAATAAAAATAAATTGTTGTGCCTGTGTTAAACTTGTTGGCCAACTTGTAAAGGAGTGTGTGGGAGATATTTTAGCCTTTGCAGACCATTTACATGCACAAAAACCTATATAACACACTACAGGAAAGGGAAACCTCCGAAAAACATAATAGGTCTACTGAAAGTCATGCATTTATGACCAGCATTTATCAGGCATTCAATCTAGAGCCATCACTACAAAGAATATTTTGTACTATTTTCTACCATTTTTGCCCCATGGGCCAACTGTTTTCAAGTTTTTTTTGCAATAGTAAATTAAAATGCATTCGAGTCAATGTTGTTGATAATAACACTGACTGTGAAAACCAATTCTCCTAGCATATATTATAGAGAAAATGTTCTGTGTTTGTGGTTTTGCATTGCATTATGAAGACCAACTGGCATTAAAGAGGTACAATCATGACTTCATATTTGGTAGTTTTTATCAAGACTGAGAAACGTGTATCTCAGAAAAACATTTTTCTTGGGGTTATTTAAGCAAGTGACTATAAAAAAACATCATAAATACAGTATAACATTATCTCACCCTTCCTGTCTTTGTCTGTTGCGATGTCACTCTCTGTCCAGGAGGGGGTGCTGGTGAGCAGCCGACTCTGAGACTCTCTCAGCGGCTTGGAGGGGAACTGGCGTCCGTCTGCTGCACTGTAAACACACACACAAATATACAGATGTATGGACATAAATCATGAGCCTAGGAGGAGTATTTACTTCTATAAATAAAATACTCCTAAATCCTGCAATCCATATATGATCTGAATGATTAATTAAAACTGCAAGACTGTAACTGCTGCAAGGTGGTGCACGCTTCATTAAACCTACAGGGTTAATAGACCATTAGGCGCTGACTTGCAGTTTTGCAGCTCTTTAGTTTCTGTGCTTTACTATTTCTTTAATGGACGTGTGTGTTCCTTTTGTCTGCCTTACCTCTTGTTGACGGGGGTGGAGCCCGTGGGTGAGACAGCCTGCTCCACGTCCAGATTCACCAGACAGGCCGGGAACGAGCAACCATCGCCTAAACTGGAAAGTCAAGCGGAAAAAAAATGGAGTTGGAAAATGTCTAAATAAAAACCTGGAAATATATCTGTTCAATAGCCTAGGTGACATAGTAGGAAATATATATGTGTACAATATATGTATTTTATTCTATTCTAGGGCTAATATAAAAAGTTAAAGTGAGTCTATAACAAACTGACGATACTGGGACTACCAGTGACAGTTATAGGATAATAATAATAATAACAGCTAAAAAACAGTGAACGAGTACCACAAGGAAAAGGTAAAACATTTTAAAATATGTTCCAATAAAACTTAAATGCACTCTCAATTCAGTTTTTTGGGGAACCTTATTTTTTGTATCAATTATGGTCGCAGTTCTTAACAAACGGTTATCGTTGTAAAACAAAAATCAAATAATGATTTGGCTTAAAATAAATATGTTTTTTACACAACTTGAGTTACATTCATAAATTGAAACAAGTTAACATTGAGAATATGTTTTCCTTTAAAAAGTGTTTGACAATGAACTACTGTTGTATGGGAATATCATTTTTAGGATATTCTTAAGTAGAGAACTGATGAATCATTACCTAGCATTAGCCCCATAAGCTAGCATTAGCCGCATTAGCCAGCTGTCATACCAGAGAAGTAAAGCTGTAGCAGCCAGACAAGTTTTCATTGAGCAGGCCAGGGGTGCAATTTCTTTCTTATGAATTTATTTTTTGATTCATAAAGATAAGAATTGTGTGTAGTCTTTTAAACATGACATAGTCTCAGTTTAATGTCTCTATTTACTGTGTTTGAGTATAACAGGGTAGCCTATTTTGACTGAACAAATATTAGCAGTTGTTGCAAATAATGTAACAAAATGGATTTCCGTATGAAGTTACAACTGGATTTGATCAAGCGGCAAACTCTGGGGCAGAGCAGGGGCAGAGCCAGGAAGCCCATAAGGAAGTGCCACAAACTGCAGTTCATCTATTGGCCGATAGGGGATGGCTGCAGAAAGGAGCGATTTCCATAGACCCCCATGTTAAAATGCCCAAATTTACAGCAGAAATAAACATGTTTCTACCCCTGGATGCAATAAAAATGATTCTGGATATAGTTAGATTCCACCTTCATGACAATGGATTGGGGAGTGCATTTTTTTATAACGCACCGCTTTTAGTTATATTAGGTCTTAAAGGTTTTGCATAAATTAGGGCATGGTCACTTTGATGGACAGGTCTCTGCGGTGACTGCTGCTTCTAGCTTTCTGTCCCTCTGCTAGCTACGTTAGCTCTGTTAGCTCCAGGATGCTACAGGGGCTCAGCTGCGAGGCTGATCCGGGAACACAACTTGAACTCGGACGTGTTTGTTGTGTTGGTGCCTGGTGGAGTATTCTTCATTTAAATATCGGACTTATCTTATGCCGCCTCGGCTCCGCCTCTTTGCCCTTATTTGGATCAGGCTGGAGCAGGCGGGAGTTAGACTTTGACGTCACTGTCGAGACGGCAGCGGCCGACTCCGCCTACTAAGGGTTTCTCAGCAACTCTGCAGAAACCTACGTATGGGTGATGTCACGGACACTACGTCCATTTATATATACAGTCTATGGATCTGATGTGTTCTTCACAACAACATATTTAGTTTTATAGATTCACTCGGGCAGAATGAATTGGCAATATCGTCAAAGCTGGAGCTTCAGCATGAATTCACAGCGGTGTTGTTGTTGTTGTTGTTTACTGGAGTTAATGCTCGCACGTCTCCTCTGAGACTTTTCCCTCCTTTGAACCATTTTGTTTCAGAAGTGACAGCACTCTCTGATCCCCGAGCTGAAGACTTCCCTCGTTCAACACTTCTCTAAAGTCAATGTAGTCCTGTGCATAGTGATGCTAGAATGAATTTGCATTATAACATCACTCATAAACTTTTCATATCCACATAATGTGCTTATCTACAGTTTTACTGACACTGACTACAGTTGCATGGAGTAATGGTTCTTGCCGTTTTGGACCTGCTTGTCCTTCAGTCCAGACTCAAGACTTGTCAGTCATCAGGTTTAGTTAACTATCAAACAACCTTCCAAAATAAGTTATAAATAATTAACACATGCTTCAGATTTATTTGGCTTACCCTCCTTAAAGGGATGGATCAGTGGGGTTGTTTGAGCTGCTTATCCATAGTCGTAGTATTACCTACAGCAGATGGCAGTAAGAATGCCAGTTAGCAGAAATGGAGTAAAGTACCAGAAGGTAGTAAAGCAATGTACTGCTTTGAATGGGGGAAGCGGGACTTTAAAAGGAGTAAAGCAAACAGCTTCAGTCCCCCATCAGAAAAGGTCTGACAGAAAGGTAAAGATATGTAAATATTGTAAATATAGCAGACGATAATGTGCTGGTACTTCTGTCTGTTTCTCCAACCTGTCATCTACTGCACGTAATACACTGACTATGGATAGGTACCTAATACAATCCTATCCCAAATAATCCTAACTATCTCCTTCAATCTTATGGTGTTTATTTGTGAATATCATTTTATTTATATAATGCCCATTGGACCTTACCCGGAGAAAATAGGAATTGGCCAGTACTTCACTTCATCCCCAAAGACCTGGCGGAAGTTCTTACTGAAGCCCAGACTGAAGCCGTTCTTATCGGTGCCGTGGCGAAACACCGGAGAACGTACTGCCTCTGAGAGGACACAGGGAGGAGAGAAGTGAGTCTGACATGGAGATAGATTAATTCAGCGCTCCCTCTCAGTCTTTATATAGATTATTAGCAGGAGCTCATTCAGAAAACTCATGAACTGCTGAATGGCTGCAACAAACTGTGAATGAACGTGTCTTTGTTGTACAGAACTGACGCTGTGCCACCATGTGTGACTCTCCATATCAGTGTCTGTTACTAAGCTGCTTACTGCTCAGAGCCATGTGTCTTTGCATTACACTGTAACATACTCCACTGGATAATCCAATCTCCGCAACACACGGACAAAGTGCCACTGTGCACACATAATGAGAAACTGCTGTCTGATAACACAGGCTCGTCAAATGACTGATAAGGATGGAGACTGACTGAGAGGAAAACACAACAAGACATCCATCTTCATCAGAGCAAAGACAAAGCAGATACACAGAGTAAACAGACGCCGTATAATTACAGCATCCACAAACAGACGCAGGCAGGAAGCACCTACCCAGAGTGGATCTGTTCTTGCAGACGAGCCAGCAGTGGTAGGTCAGAAGAGAAGCCAGGCTGACGGAGAACGTGGAGGCCGAGAAGAAGAGGAACAGGATGTGGAACTTAGCTTGAGTGTCTGGGAGGCCGTTCTGAGGGGGAGTAACAGCCAAAACATCAACAGAGCAGACACTTTGAGGCTGTGGGACCTGAGGGATTTCTACTCTACTGGTGTTCTTGAGGAGCTTATTAAAGGAATACTTCACCTCTGACATTATTTTTTTTTTAATTAATCTCCCCATGTTACATTGAATCATTGAAGGAAACTTCAATGCCTGTACGGTGAACACATTAAAAAACGCAGAAGGTAAATGACACAACATATCAAAGGCAATTACTATAAAGCCTTATTATTTTGGACATTTCCAAAAAATGGGTCACATGCTTTCCTGTTTTAGCGAAAACACATGTGTTTTGGAAGTAGTTAGCATACGATTGGGCAGCTGAGTCTTGGATTTGTATTAATTTGCATTTACTTACTTCCATCACGATTTGTCTCAGTTTTTGTATTCTGTGTTCACCATGGATTCATGTAAAACAACTTTTAATTCAAGGTAACAGTGAGGGAGTAACCGATATACAATTTGTTATTTTGTGGTTGAATTATTCCTTTAAACTGTTTCTATTTCAGTGCCACTAACTAGTTGATCCATACCCGATGTTCTCTCAGACGGAAATGTGCTCTACCTCCAGCCTTGTTAAAAGAAATCAAATCCCACATATTCAACATAGAATGCTTTCAGATTTATTCAGATTTGATTTGACATATTTTGTGCTAACCCTTTTGTGTTGTGGTAGTATTGCCAGACTTACCAGCCAGAACTTGATGAAGTACTGAAGATCTGTGGCGGTTATAAAAAGGCAGTAGAGGAGCGAATATGCCAAGAACAGCATGAAGAACTTGTAGTTGGCGAACCCCACACAGTTGTTCACCCTGCAGCGAGGATGGAGGTAAGAGAAGGGAAATGTTATCACTAGTACATCAAGTCTGCTGAATGTTGATAATGAGTCGAAAACAGAAGAACGGTAAATATTGGTGACAGGGGTTTTAGGGGTTTTGTGGATATGCACCTAAGTATTTGTATTTGAATGCTATTTTAAGCCCTTTCTGAGACATAACAGATCAGATTTTTTTGGCCGAACTTTCTAATAAACCTCCAATCAGTTTGTTTCATGTGAATAAGGTGACCAGAGGCCTGTACTACGAATCCAGTTCAACATATCCTGGATATGTTTGAGTTACCCGCAGTGGCAGCGGCAGGGTATGGCTGGGGTAGGCTACAGCCATACCAAGAAATGGCTTAGCCCCACCTTAGCCCCACCATGAAAAATTAATAAGCAAAATGCTAAATGTTGAGAACACGGCTTGCGGAAATATCCACAACACACAAACTGACTTTGATCCGGTTACTTGTGGCAGATATTTAAAGGTAGGGTAGGTAAGTTTGAGAAACCGGCTCGAGATACACTTTTTGTTATATTCCATGGAATGCTCTTAACATCCCAATAGCAATAAATATCTTAAGTGCTTTGACAAAAAATCCATAAAAAAATGTCCTCTGTGGAAGCCGTAATACTGTAAAAAGTACGACCAATCATTTTAGCCGGGCCGGCTAAAATAACTGGATGGCCTACCTGCCTGTCAGCCTTCCATCTGTGCACAAACTTATCTCGTGCCCTCATTGGTCATGTGCGCGTTCGTGTGTGTTGGAGGAGGGGCTCTATAAGGAAGTGGCAGATTTTTTCCGGTTGTGTATTTTCAAATTCTAGCGATATCGAGCTGGTTTCTCCAAAATTACCTACCCCACCTTTAAGTAAGCTTTCTTAACGCTAATGTTATAATAGTCAGATTGCTCTGAAGATGGGAAGTGATATTCTATTAATTTTCATGATAAACACAGTCAGTTGATTTTTGCCGGCCGTCTTTCCTGCAACGGCAGTTTTTCTGTATTTCCTTTATCCTGTAATATGACTTGATCGCTTTAAACTCCGCACACGGAGCTCTGATTGGTCAGCAGGCGGTGCTTTCACTGAGTTGATCTCTTATCCTGGAACCTAACCTGCTCCAGAGCAGGTTAGCCGTTCAGCATTTATTTACCATGGAGATCTAGCCCGGTAAGAAGTGAACTAGCGTCGTAGGACCGGAAACCCAGAGTTTTCCCTGAAGTTAGCTCGCTAAGCGAAAATCCGGCTTCGTAGTACAGGCCTCTGGTAGTTTGAGAGCATAACAGAAAACAACAAATTATCCTGTTGATGTGTGAGCCGATGGCATGTTGCATTCTTATATTTAGCTACTTCCATGATAAACCAATGTTTGGCGAAAATGAAACTGGTTTGTTTTGTCCTCCAGCAGGAGGAGAACAGTATCAATATTTGTCCAGTAAACAAGCTCCTTGTGCTTCCATGTGATGTGTTTACAAGCGCTAACGGGAAAGTGACTGGGTGCCAAAGAAAAATAATTCCCATTAAGCCTGAGTAAAAAAGCCTGAGGCAAAAGCGTATTTGTCATGCACTTACTTTCATAAAACATGTTCTTTCAGAAAGAAATACATTTGTACATGTCACTTGTTAGACGCTTTTATCCAAAGCGACTTACATACTCAATACTGTGGACAATCCCCACAGGAGCAATTTGGGGTGAAGTGTCTTGCCCAGGGACACAACGACATGCTGACTGCAGTGGGGTTTGAACCTGTGACCCCCTAATCCGAACACCAACGCACAACCCACTGCGCCACATGCCTCCCTGGACCACAAACAAGCTTATTCAGAATATTTTCTCTATATTCATTTGTAGATTTCATCCAATTCCCCAAGAGTAAGAATTAGATAGTGCCTTATTTCAATGTTTAAACATAAGATTTCAAAAAACTTGCTTGTCCTTAATGTAATTGATCAATTGGGAAGGTTATATAGTGATATATATTAGTTTAAAAATGATAACCCTATTCAACTGTGAAATATATGCAGTTTTACAATACATATTCAAAGGCTGTTTCATCAAAATGAGTTTCATTCCTATGTATATTCTAAAGGTGTTTACAGACGGCTTCATTTTCATATATCATACATATTTGTTTTTAATGGCGGTAATTTTTATTGATGGAGTGATACAAAGAAAATGAGCCTCTGCAAACACATTTCATTCTACTATGACCAAATTACACAATCATTTTGAAGCAGGCTACATCCCAAATGAGCAATTATTTTACAAGATAATGACTGATTTGCATATTTAAACATTGCATTTCAGAAACATTTGAATACAAAAATGATCTTCCTAATATAAGTAATACACTGGAGACGTTTCACGTGATATCTTTTAGATTCACCTGCCATGTCTCCCTTTAGCAAAGTGTCACTGACATTAGTTTAAAAATGGTTGTCACTACGTACCATGGGCAGTGGTGATCCATCTTCAGGATGCATCTGAAACACAGCGGGGTCAGACGTCAGTGGAATTGAATCCCTCTCTCCTGTCAGAGTGCAGTACATGGTGTTCTGTATGGTGCATGAGGGAGCCATACTTATCACAGACTGAACAGTGGTGGCATCGATCAGGCTTCAGCAGCTGGCAGCGGTCACAGAAACGGATCGCTGAGGAGACACAGCCGGGGCAATCACAGCCGTCAGCAGCAGCTCAAAACTGGACCACACTTCATATTTAACAACGTACACCAGTATTGGGAAGTAACTTTGTTCATTTACTCAATCAGGAATCAGAAACACGTTAAGAGGGAATGCAGTTACACAAACAAGGAATGTGCTTTGGTGTATAACTGTTGCATACATGAACACAACTAGAGGAATTGGGTTGTGAAAAGGGGACAAATATAGTACTATAATAATAACGTATCAAGTACTGTACTTAAATACAATATTGACACACCTGTACTTTAATTCACTATGTCCATTTTATGCTACTTTATTTTGACTACACTTCTATTCAAAGGCAATTTTTGTATTCCCCTCCAAATAATTTGACAATATTAGTTATAGATGCTTTGCAGGCTCATATTAATCATTAAGAATTTAAATTAACTAATGAATTATGATGTATTATTATGGATTAACATAAATGTCAATATAAAAAGACAATTTAAATTAGCTTTACTTTGTCTCCATGGTTTAATGTTCAAAAGCTCTTTATTTTTCTCATACTGCCTGTGCTGCAGCACCTCTTTTCACCCTCTGTCTGAAACCAGAGCCCAGTCTGCTCTGATTGGTTAGTTTGCCGGCTCTGTTGTGATTGGTCAACCACCTTAGAGATGTCCCGCCCCTTAGCCTATCATGTACAATGTGTTGGAGCGCTAGCCAATAGAAGTGTGAGTGTTTACATGGTGATGTCACTATGTTACAGAAGTAAACAAAGGAGTCCAATGGAGGCCTTTCAGACGGGGGGGGGGGGGGGGGGGGGGGGGGAGTGTGGGGGAGAGAAACTCCCTCTGGAGGGAAATGTGTGATCATGGCCTCTGCAGACCATTAACATGCACACAAACCTAAGCAACGCACTACAGGAAAGGGAAACCCCCCAAAACCATAATAGGGCCTCTTTAAGTATAGTTAGATGCTTAGACTTACTTACTTAGATTTGTACTTGTACAGAGTATTCCTAAACGTTCCCATTACTACTTTTACTCATGTCATGTCTAAGCCCTTCTCCCTCAGCTGGTGTAAAGTTCTCCTGCTGTTGTGCCTCAGCAGCAGTGTGCTGTACCTCCAGAGTTGGTGCGGGTGCAGATGGGCAGATCCTTGGCTATCCTCCTCAGGATCTCCTGCTGAGACTCCCCCCGATCTTCACGCTCCAGCAGCTCCTTGTCAGCGTATGACAGGTGAAACTGCGCAGGGCAGAGGGAAAGAAGAACAGCACCTGTGATTTAGCAACAGCACAATCTGCAATCAGTTCTCTTATTTCTAATGAATGGTATCGTCACATTTGTCAAAACAGTCAAATGATTTTCCATATAAGCTGTTAGCACGACGTCTGGACGATTCATTTAAATGTGTTTCAAATTGCAGTATGGATTAGTGCAATATCTAAATCACAGTAAGCACAATATTTGGTACAAGGTAAAAAGACCAGTATCCCAGAGAGCATATTTAACATGACATTTTTCTAATTGGAAAAAACGTTTTTTTGTGATCCAGTAACTCCAAATCAACGCTACATCATATTAATACACTGGAAGAGTAGGGAACACCTCGTTGTATTACATATTTGTGTTTTTTCTTTTTTATATTTATATTTTTCTAACTCCTGCAGCCCTCGTCTGTAGCTCAGTATGGTGAAAGGTTTCTGCATCTTCCATTCGTTTTGCTTCTTTCTGCCCCAGCAGGCAAATGGGAGCAAATTAGCACAGAGCTTATTACTTTCAGCCACTCAGGCAAGTTATAGGCGATTGTAGCTGAAACAAATAAGTCCGATGATAACGAACAGCGCAGCACACATGAAAAGTGACTTTATTAAAATCTGAAAACCTCATGTGAACCAGCGTTCCAGGAAAGCTCTCGCCTCGAAAATTGAAATGCAAAAGTGGCTTTTATCTTGGTGTGTGTGTGTGTGTGTGTGTGTGTGTGTGTGTGTGTGTGTGTGTGTGTGTGTGTGTGTGTTGAAGTGCTGTGGTCAGGATCAGAGCCATTACAGAGCAGCTCCAGGCACTTCCTCTGGAAAGTGTTATTAGTCTGAATACAGTGTTCAATCACAAGCGGAGGCTGTAACCTACATCCGCACTTCCCAGCATGCATCAGTAACGCTGCGTCGCAGACACACGCGCTCACCTCCTTCAGGGGGTTCATGGGCCTGGTGAAGATGGTTTGCCAGTACGCCCACACAAACATGATGAAGATGACATGGTACACCAGCAGGTATATCACTGGAAGCAGAAAATCATAAACAAGTCGTCAGCAGCATCTATCTGTCAGCTTCACTGAATATTCATAGCAATGCTGCAATCCAATATGATTTATTTTGCAAAAACAAAATATTTCAACTCAGTATTCTGTCTTAATCTCTCACTGTCTTAATGGGTCATGTTTAAAAGGGAAAGAAAAAGAGCCAAATGCATAAAGTCAGCTCTAAAAATGTAACACTGAGCAGTTGGTGTGATTTTCAGAGCTGATTTTACAATATTCAGTAATGACATCAGTTTTGTGTTACGGCAGTTATAATCGACCATCACAGTGAACGATATAACATTTTGTTTATATGTTGCATTACAAGACAATGCCAACAGTGCCTGATTTATATTCCAAAAATGATGACTAAGAGTCTGCAGCCCTGCTACTGCTGTGAAGTCAAAGTGGTGCTTTGAGGTGCTAACATTACAATGTTAACAAGGACAATGCTAACATATGAAGTTTAACATAAACAATGTTAACTATACTCACCATCTTATTTTAGCGTAATAGCATGCCAACATTAGCTCATTAGCACTGCGGACGAGTAGGGAAGTGGTGAGAATTTGATTCATTTGAATGGTTTTTGGGCATAAACCACATTTTTAGACACATTTATAATTCACTCTTAAATTGTCATATCATACTCTTAACTAACTTTGACTTTGAGGATCATTAGTTATTAGATTCATGCAGAGGAGATCACTGTTAGTAGGATTCAGATATATATATATATATATATATATAGATAGCTTATAATAAAAAGCAATACTATTTCGGTCTCTTTCTGGGCTCTGTGGTTGAAGCATGTATATTTTATAAAAGCTGGTATTAAAACATCACTGAGGTGATTAAAGGAAACATTATGACACACTTGAAGCTAATACAGGCTGATTATAGACGTTAGATGTGGGCTGCCTGTGCCAGACTGAAGGCTGCTGAACCTCCTCTGGTCTGAACTCAACTCCACATATAACAGAAGCAGAAAACACTTGTGATTCCTCTTGATGTTAACAGCTTCATTAAACACTTACCCTTTTCTGCTATGCCCTCGATCGACTCTGAAAAGGAAAAAAGACAAGAGAACTCTAAGAATGCTTGACATATGACCTGCAGAAAGTGTGTATCTCAACATAGGGAAAGTAAGTGTTTCATTTTTCCATGGGATATTGAAGAGCACTGACTCTGTGAACCCCCAGCACTCACAAAATCAATACACAGCACACTCATGAAGTTCTATGCTGCAACATTCACTTAAATGTCTCTTATGTTCTGTTTAGAGGAAAAATACTTACAAAGCTTTTTTTTTTTAATAAATCACAAAAGCATCTGAGCAGTATATAAGCCATTAAGAAGCTTGCGGTACCATTCTCCAAGGGTTTTTTACATTCTTGATTGGGATCAATAGACCAATTGTATTTCTTTATCATTATAACACAACATAAAACAATATAAATGTGATCATATTCATGACTTTTGTAATAATATTTTTTAAATTTAAACATGTTTCCCTATTGGGAAAATTGGTGTCCCAGAAATGAATGGGTACCAACAAAAAAATACGATGTGATCAAAAGAGTTTTTTTCTCGTTTTGATCCGCATTGCTGTGCATTGATAACAGGCATTGAAAACACAATCTCTCACACACACACACACACACACACACACACACACACACACACACACACACACACACACACACACACACACACACACACACACACACACACACACACACACACACACACACACACACACACACACACACACACACACACACACACACACACACACACACACACACACACACACACACACACACAAGCCCAGAACCTTTACAAACACACACCTAGAGATCTGGACTCGAACATGAAAAAAGACAAAAGATTTTAGCTGACACGGCTTTCTATTTGTCCCAATATCTAAGCAATGATTAGCTGAGCATGGAGAATCATCCATCTTCGGCGGCATCCTACACACACACACACACACACACACACACACACACACACACACACACACACACACACACACACACACACACACACACACACACACACACACACACACACACACACACACACACACACACACACACACACACACACACACACACCACACACACACACACACACACACACACACACACACACAGAGAGAGAGAGAGACACACACACATATGCACCAGGCAAGGTGAGCCAATTGGAGCTGAATCGAGGCATTCAGCCAAAAACCGTGTGCATGCCGCGTTGCCAGCTTTAACGCCCCAGAGTCTGAGAGTGAAGCATCAGTGTACGTGTGATTAAGAGCATGTGCAGGGATGTATATTAAAGTGTCTTTGAAAGCATCGCTGTACTACTCTCCGTATCTTTTCCTCTTTACTGCTACAACAAGGTCAATGTCCTACCATACATGGATTTGAACAAACTGAGACCACCTGATTACAAACGTGTCCACCTGAAAAAGGGCAAACTGTTCAAAAGCTGACGTTTGGTGCTTTGAATGAAAGTGGGTCAAATGCAGATCGCTTGGGGTTAAATTATATAAGGCAGACAATGGGATTAACTCAGCGGCCGAACGAGAGCTATCAGCTGACGACACTTTCACACAACTGTCTCTGTGTCTGTCTGCAGAACACATGCTGGCCCCGAGCGACCGCTGTCCTGCCCCGATGCTGTTTTCAACATGTCCCATGTGACCTGAACGCAGCACAGTGTCGCTATTGTTCTATTGCAAAACAAGTTGGTGTTCAAAAAGCCTGACGCAACAGTGATTTGGCGTTTCTGTCATGCGGTAATTAGGGATGTCTTAATATCTCACAACCGACACATGGTGTCCTCTAACTCTGAACGGGTAGGGGGGGGGGGGGGGGGGATAATAAAACGACATTGTTGATAGCGACATTATTATTTTTGTTGCAGTTAATAAATGCCAAATAAAACTTTAAACATTGCATCTTTTGTGGATTTTCTCATCTGCTTGTGGTGTTTTGCTTCCATGTATTGTTGTTGTGCATCTCTGTTATTTTAAGTCCCTTTGTTGGTTGTTTTCATCACTTTGCATCCATTAGTGCTGTCTTTTTGTCTTGGTGGCTGTTTTACATCCATTTGTGGTCTTTTTCTGAAACCCTCTGTGGTTGTTTTTAGTTTTTCCGGATCTTTAGCGTCTCTCGATGGTCATTTTGCATCCCTTGGAGGTCATGTTGTAACATGTTTGTCATTTACATCTTTGAGTTTTCTATCTCTTTGTGGTGTATTTTGCGTCCCTCTGTGGTTTTTATCCATCACATTCAAGACTTTAACATCTCTTGGTAGTCATTTTGCATCCCTTTTGGGTCATGGCGCATATATTTGTTTTTTTCTTTCTCTATTTGTGGTTGTTTTGCATCTATTTGTGCTCTAATTAAGTCTTGATGGCGTTTTTACATTCCTTTGTGGTGTTTTTCATCTTTTCTGGCCTTAAGCGACATTCTGTGGTCATTGTACAGCCCTTTGTGGTCATGTTGCATATTTGTATGGTCAATCTCTGCCTTTTTGGGGTAGTTTTTCATGTCTTTCCGGACCTTTAGCGTCTCTTGTTGGTAATTTTGGATCTTTTATTATGTTTTTTTGTCTCTTTGTGTTTGTTTTGCATCCAATTCATGTCATATTGGGTCCATTTGTGCCCTTTTTTTGTCTTTGGGCGGTTTTCACATCTTATTTTGGTCTTTGATGCATCCCTCTGTGGATGTTTTTTTTTATCTTTTTTGTAGTTGTCATGCATCTCTTTGTCGCCATACTCATCAAGTGACATGGCACTATGAATCCCTAAATCTTACTGATCAGGTGTTCTCTTACAGTAAAAGCTGGACCGCATGTCTAGCTACATTTGGAGAAGATAAAAATGAGTAACAACCCCTCCTTCGCATTGTTTTCCTCTGTTTGGTCTCATTAGACCGTCTCCATTTCATCCCACGTTTTCACAGAGGAGATCTGCTTTCCGAGTGTTCTGAGATGCTGCCAAATAGAGCACATGAGTTGGCTGCTGAGACTCCTCTGAGACATCCTAGAAACCATAACTCAATATCCAGGTCAACTCTGTATTCACGGCTCACCGAGAAGGAAGCTCGCCGTCTGGAACCGACCATCCAACGTTCAGCAGCCGATGGAACGTGAAAGAAGGAGGCCGGCCTGACTCTGAAGCCATTACAGTCAGAGTTCTTGCCAATAGATAATGCCGGTTGTGTTGTGGTGGAGGATATAGATCCAGATAATGAAGCTCTGCAACTACATAAGCCTGAAGCTATTACACTAAGTCTTTTAGATAGTGCTGATTGACTAGTGTTGGACACAGATATTGAATCTCATTTCAGAATGCTGTTCTGTACATTCATTCTATTTGTCATAAAATATCCTTCACAATAAAAGCAGGTTGGAAAAATACTTCTAATTGCCACTTCCTTGTTTCAATATGCTGACAATTCCTGTTGAAAATGCTGTCATGTTACTAAAACTGTCCACACACTGCATTAACCAAAAGGCAGTTTTCTGCATTACCAAAAAAATACACACCAGTCTGAGGCATTTCCCCCTCACACACACACACACACCCCTCCTCCTCATACTACGCAGACAGCTGGTTTCTTACCTATGCAAAGCTGCAACACATAGGCGTAGTATGACCACGCCACTATGAGGGCGATGAATAGGACCGGGATCCAGTACAGAACTCTCTGACAGCCCTTCTTGATACTACCCGAGCCCGACGGTGCCATGGTCTAGGAGCGGATCATTTCTCGTGCGCATTCGTCTCTTATTACTCCCTCTTCCTCAGTCGGTGTGTGTGAGTGTGTGTGTTCTCCTGTGTAGTCTGTCACTGCATCGTAGCTCCGGCTCTGATCAGCCTAATCGGCAGCTCAGACGCAACATCCTACAGTCTGCTGCTGCTGCACTGCTCGCTCTGATCGTCCAGCTCAGATCTCTCGTGCAGACTACAACAACATATCAGACAGCTCGCACAGTCAGCGCCGCCCCTGCTGCCCCCCCTCCCCACAGGTTGCCATGACGTCCACGGGATGCTGCAAGCATGGCACTTTTTTTTTTTACACCGTGAGCAGATGGGTTCAATGTCTGGAAGGCCAAAGGTGCCATAAAACGCAACTGTTTCAATATGCTTTTTACTTAAAGGGGACCTATCATGCAAAATGCACTTTTATACGTCTTTTATACATGAATATGTGTCCCCGGTGTTCCAGGGAACTCACCAAGTGTCAGAAAACACAACCCTCTCTATTTTCCTCCATACCCAAATCTCTAAAAAAGGGGCTGCAACGGATCTGATACAGACTGATCCAGATTTGAACACTTCTATGTCGTCACAGAAGTGGCGCTACGGCTATTGGGCCAACTCTCCACCTATCAGGGGAATGTGGGGTTGGGCCACGGCCGGCCATTGCCGCTCGAAAGCGCTGGAGACGCTGTAGTACATATGCCAGGCCTGTAAGTGGCGCTGTAGTCTGCCACAAAAGCAGCGAAGAAGACTTCCCGCCCATAGTTACCATGGTTACCCTTCTGTTTATTCTCCGCTGTGGCTTTTTTTCTCCCTCCCCAAGGCAAGCGTTTGCTCCTGCTGCTTTAATTCAATGCAATCCCTCCCCGTCGAGGCAAGCACTGTAATTCTCTCCGGTTAGTCCACCAGCAGATGACAAACACCCACCTCTCCGCCTCTTCCAAGGAACGAGGGGACCGTGCGGCAGAGTTTCAGTTTCAGTTACTTTCGCCGGTCAAGATGTCCGTTAAAGTTTAAATCTTCCGGACAAAATTAGAAAAGTGCCGGTCAAAGGTCTTCTTTGTTATTTATTGAGCTTTAAAACAAATGAATAACGACTCTATATAATGAAACACGGAGGACGGAGATCTCTTTTTCTCCCCCTCTTCTGACAGCCCAGCAGCTGATCTGAGCACGTCTCCCCTCTCCTGCAGGGGGGCGTGGTCAGCAGAATCAGACCCGTAGACAGCAAACAGCACATAGAGCGAAATGAGGCATGGCTAAAATGCATGATCTGTTTGGTATTTTGAAAACTGAAACATATAAATATACCTTATATAGGTATGGCCCTACAATATATCATTTAAATATAGCATGATGGGTCCACTTTAAAGTAACAAAAGTAAAAGTACTTATTATGCAAATGTCTTGATATTTTTCACACAGCTAAAATGCGCAAAATACAGGAGTTTTTTAACTAACAACGACACCAGCATATAATCTGACTTTTTAACACCAATACACGCGAAAAGAGGTGGATTAACTAATGCATTAAAATAGTGGCGTTTGATGGCCCTGTTGGCTTCCTTTATTGCAAGTATGATGACCAGTGCAGAGGTTTCATAAAGTGAGTATTTATTTTCAAATATATATCTTTTGTAATTCCTTTATATCATATTGTAATGTATATTGGTGTTATGAGACAATATCAATAAAACATGGGACTGATAGCTGTTTTTTTTTGTTTCAGAACACATTGTGTTTTCTTTACCTGACATCTCCACCTGCTCCTGCTGTTTTCAAGCCCAACTGCACCTGCAAAATATTCTGCAATCCTGAAGTATATACTGTACAATACATTTCACAAGCCCACTGTCAAGCTACACACTGCCTGTTTTTTACTGTTACATATAACTACTTCAAACATTTAAATTGGAGCAGCTTTAAAACATTTTCACAAGTGCTATTTAAATGTGAGAATAAGTCTGCTTTAATTTTCCAACTTGTTGCCAGTTATGCGGGTGGTTGGCTCGCTGCAGCCAACAATATGCACCACAATATGTCTAAGTGTTGCAGTGAGGACAGATGGCTCAGTGAAATGGCAACAATTACAATGTTTTTCAAAAAGCTACTGAGCAGAAGCTGTTTCAAAAGTACAAATATGATACAACTGACCCCAAATCAACAGTCTTGATTACAATACAAAATGATATTCCATCTACACATTTAGCTGTATCTTATATCTAAAAAAATATTACAATATTGTCAGCGAGTCTAACAAAATTACTCTCATGTTTATTTATATTTGCCAAGCTGAATTATGGTAATTGTAGGATCCAGTGTCTTTCGATTCTTAACCATGACACAGCCAAAACGTTCGTACATCTCCACCTCTGCAGCATCAATTTCGACCTTTATTTCTTTATTATATATTGTTCTGAGCGTAGATGCTGACAAGTCCAAAATCATTAGCAATGCGTGGATACGGTGGTTTGCATAGCCATTCATTTTGCTTTAACAGGTAATGTTCAGAAAATGTTATGTATATACAAAATACGACACAAACATGAATTATATTGGTTTTACTAGTGGCCAATAATATCACATAAGATACTATTGGATCCTTTACATATAAAAAGAAGATCAAAACACCTGGTAGTGATCTATTGCTGAGTTAATGGATGAACATTAACACTTTTCATTATTCCTCAGGGATGTTTTACAGTCGCCCTTTATTTTTCTTCAAAAGTTCAGGATTAGAGTGTGAGGCTGCAAATGATTACCCGGCAGAATGAATCATTTAAAGATTAGGAAAAACTCTGTGATTGGAGTCTCATACACCGACACAGCCGCAGGTTTGTGATGATTAATGCTGTTAATGATTTGCCTTCAGGTTAAGAATAAAACCGATAATTTATTCTTCTGTGCTCCTGCCATCAGTGCACTGTACCTACAAAGAATAACAGCGGTTTCCCTGGTGAGGACGAAGCAAACACTTTATTTATTAGCGGACTCACCATGTGTGTGCTAAAAGAGGAAAACAGAGAGTACAAAATAACCAACAATCAACATGTTTTATATGATATTTATTGCACCTTGTCATGTCAAATGCATCAGTGTAACAGTCGCGGCCTGAATTAAAAGACTTCTATGGAGCATTTAAAACTCTTTAAAGAGGCAAAACTAACTAATCTAAACAGAACTACATTAGTCTGGTTAATATATTAGCGTGTAACATTTTGCTATCTTTTTTCAGCTCCACCCAAAGCAAACATTACACCAATCATTAAGAATGTCTCAGTTACATACTGAACAGTAGTACAAGAGAGTATATTTATAAAGAAGAAGAAGTACTATTCTTTTCAGAGCGTAAAGGGAATACGATTTCAATATATTGCTTCTAAAGATTAATTTAAGATGAGTGTCCCAAGACACTCGTATGGCTTTGATATATTTATCCCTGCCAGTGGCATGGAAATAGCACTTGTCCTCAATAAGTTAAGAAATGATTAACACTGTTAGCTGCCTGTAGTTAAGCAGTGAAAAAGAGATACAGATTGAGAGGGTTTGTCCAGTGGGGGATCCGGGAGGATTTTAGCTGCAGCGCTTAGGGAGAGAGGAGGAGAGGGATATAAAGGAGGGGAGGAGGGGGGGTGCTGTCCTGAGCTGATCTGTGCAGGGGCTGCAGAGCCTCAGGACAAAAGGAGAATCAAACAATCACTGGTAGAGCAGAAAAAGTTAGACAAAGTTGGACTTAACAAATAAATAAATAAATAAATAAATAAATAGGATCAGTGTTAACAATCTTAAACTGATAATTATATTTACAAGTCGATGAATCAATAAATATTTAAGTATCTTTTAAGCAGTTACATAAACTGATTATCCTATTTAGAGTCCTGCATTGCTGCATTAAGGGGATTAAGGTTCATAATGGGTCATTCTTGTTTGTTTGCAACAGCTTCCCACATCCTGTTTGTGCAACATCCTGTTTATGTAAAAACTTCTAACATAGTGCAAGAAGATGCTGGAACATGCATTAACCCTTCAGTCCTGGTCGTGAGCGCAGATAGGAGGCACAGCTCGTCGTAGTTAAGACATGCACTGATGCTGGGGGTTTCACCTGGTGACAAAACAGAGAGAGAATATAAATACAAGTCCAGTGAGACACTTGGTAAATGTTTAGGGGCCCTATTATTCTAATTTTCAGGTTCCTATTTGTATTTCGTTCCTCTACTGCAGGGGTGGGGAACCTTTTTCCTCTCAAGGGCCATTTCAATTTTTACAACATCCTCCGAGGGCCGTAGAAATTATTGACCTCTGCTTAAAAATACTAAAATCACAGCCCATTCATTTCGCCTTTCTTTCATGCTGTGCAAAGAAAAAGCAACCTCTTAATACAGATATCTTACCATGACTCGCGCATTCACGTGCACGGTTGTGGCATGACCACCAAAACAGAAAGATATGGACACAAGATGTTTTTTTTTTTAAATATTGAAGTTAAAAGCATCAATCTGGTGCACTTTGAGAGCAACATTAGGAGATCTATGGATACATCTCTCAACACCCATATGAAACAGAACTGTAAGCAGATTTTCTTTTTCTTTATGGATATTTTACAAATCACTCCCCTTTCAAACTGTTTTCTTGTTTATTAATAACAACTTTTATGTTAACTTTATTCTCTTATTTTATGTATAACTATAATGATCATATAAAGATGTGCCTTTACCTCACTGGTTGTAGAAAAAGCTTCTTATGGCGCGTTTCCACTACAGCGCGGAGCACGGTTTAAGAGGGCTGTGACGTCAGCGGCCCGTTTTTGGTTGCGTTTCCACTTGGCCTAGTACCGGCCGGCGGGTCCTAATTCACAGTTTTTCTGGCCTCATAAAATCGTGGGTCTAGGGCCAGAGACAACGAGGCTGAGTCGGGCTGAGTATGCTAAACTAGAGAGAGAATCGCTGGCAAGGGGGCTACAACTACAACAAGATGGACATATTTGACCGTGATTTAATTGTAATACACGTTTCAAAATGATGCCGAAGTAACAACATACTGATACCGGTTAGTAAAAACCATGAATTAATGCTTTGACAAGTTTGCAGACAGACGGCAGGCGAAAAACCTTTTAAAATGCGTGTTTTCTAAATGGAGATCGGCTAAGCTAACGCAATATATGCTCCGACCGTCCACACTCACAACAACGGCCTATACAGACATAAATAAAGCAGCGACTGTATTCGCCATGACACAGGCAGTCTGTGGTTTGTACTTGTTTAACTTTTGTCTAGTTTCTGAACATATATGAGGAGCTGTGAGCTCTGAGTGCTAACAGCTAACGGCTGATGTTGTTTTTCTGGGGTTCTCATTGAAGATGACGTCACGGCTCCGCCTACACTGCGTTACTATAGATACTACCCCAGTTCCTAAACTGTAATGGAAATGCGCCATAAAGTGAGCCAGTCCTAACGAGGCCTAGCCATACCGAGCGAGGCCGTGTAGTGGAAATGCGCCATTATATTCGTTAGCATAGCTAGCTAACCAGATGCTAATAACAACAAAGTTATTGACTGTATGATCAGTATGACAGATGAACAGATCGCCACTGGGCTTTCAACTAAAGACACAGCCACGCAAAAACTGCGGCATGTGTACGGCTCCTTATGGGTACTGCAATTTTTGAAGTGGCGGAGCCGCATTCTGGTGGTCTCCGTCAGCACTACACCCCTGTCAGATGAGACATATACCACATGATGACACGTTAGGCTCGTGTTGTGTTCAAGGACCCTGACCTTAGCCAGGAAAAACAGGCACTCGCTTTTTTAATTATTTTGCGGTCTAGATTTCTTTAATTATTTTTTTTGCGTGTGTTTATAAATTACCTCGAGGGCCGTATCAAATGGTCTCTACTGGGACATGTTTCCATGCTTTAATGTTCAAAAAGCTCTTTATGTTCCTCATACTGCCTGTGCTGCAGCACCTCTTTTCACCCTCTGTCTGAAACCAGAGCCCAGTCTGCTCTGATTGGTTAGCTGGCCGGCTCTGTTGTCATTTGTCAACCACTTAGAGATGTCCCGCCCCTTAGCCTATCACGTACAATGTGTTGGAGCGCTATCCAATAGAAGTGTGAATGTTACATAGTGATGTCACTATGTTGAGGAAGTTAACAAAGGAGTCCAATGGAGGCATTTCAGGCAGGGGGGAGTGTGTGGGAGAGGAACTCCCTCTGGAGAGAACACAGGGATTTTAGCCTTTGCAAAACATTTACATGCACAAAAACCTATATAACACACTACAGGAAAGAGAAAGCCCCAAAAAACATAATAGGGCCCCGTTAACCAACACATTGTGCTGGTGTTGTGAATAAGCTGTATTAAACATAACTGCAATTCAATTATTTCTAGTGTGTTAGGTGCTGTTTACACGAGAACGCAAACGGTTGTATCCGCTACTTTTCTCTTTCGGATAGCCCGTTCGTTTATACAAGGCCGTAACGGAAACGCGGAAACGGACCCCGCAAACGATAACGGGTCCCAAGGTGGATAGATCTGCAAACGGAACGCTCTGGGGGGCCAAACGGCTCCGTGTGTAAGCCCCTATACGATCATTTCCTGATAACGATGAAGCCATAGCCCCGCCTCTGCTGCTCACTGCTGTAGCATGGTCAGTAGCTACTGTCAGTAGCTACTACTACTGCTACTAACCATGCTACAGATGTTAGTGCAACATCTACAGCTCCTCTACCACAACCATCAGCAACAAGTGGACATGGAGAACTACATGAACTACATATTGCTGAATCCACCGTGGGGCATAAACAGAAGGGCAACCATGCTCGGGGGTCTTCTTCGCTGCTTTTGGTGTATTTTGTGGCGGAAGTACAGCGCCACTTACAGGCCCGGCATATGTACTACAGCGTCTCCAGCGCTTTCGAGCGGTCTCGTGTGAACGGAGGACCTTTTTTATATCGTATTCAGTTCGTTTGCGTTTCGTTTGCGTTTGCGTGTAAATGGGGTCTTAGATACTGAGAATACAATAGCCTACTGAGAAACACAAACTCTTACAGCCCTTAATCAAACAGTCCTGGAGTGCAGCAGCAGTTCTGCAAGCATGCAGAAACAGATCTGCTCCTCTGCAGGGACCACAGCTGTGGAGCCCCAGCACACAGCAACCAGACATACTGCTCCAAAATATTACATTAAAACAATTTCCAAATGTTCTGTAGCAGGTTATGATGAAAGTTAAACAAACAGATAAGTGAACTGCTTTCCAGGAGTGGGGTGAGCACATTTAAACTACTTTTTCATGTCTAAGAGGATTATATCTTCTCCTCTAATTTGGCAGGAAACAAGGGCGTAGCTTTCATTTTCAGATTACTGGGCAGACGCATATTTTGAACTAACCAGTTGAGCCCCGAGCCTGTTTTTCAGGCCTCAGGCTCGAAAATGACATTCCCAGAACAATTGACTATATCTTCACTTCTAAAAGGGGTAAATTAATAATCTTTTTTCTCAAACCAATGATACACCTGTGAGTTGGATGTAGAAGAGTCAGAATCAATATAGAATTGTTTTATTTTAAAGTAAATTCAGATTGAACATAGTAAAAAAAAAAAAATGATAGTGTCCGTCCAAAATAAAAACATTACTTATAGTGAAAACCACCCTTGAATGATGGGATAGTAGACTAAAAGCTTTAGGAATCCACACTATAACATATAATAAGTACCGTGTATCAAGATTGTTTTGATTGCAAAATAAGTTACCTAAAATCCATCTAAACATTACCCATTGGTGAATGAGTGCTGCACAGCCAGAATGCCCAATACCGGAAGCTGTCATACACTCTCGTAGCAGCTAATGTGAAATCTCCGTTATTGACATAAATATGAAGATTGATTATCAGTAGGGCTGTCAAGTTAACACGTTAATAATGCGTTAACGCAAAAAAAAATGAACGCCACTAATTATTTTAACGCGATTAACGCATGTGTATTTTTTGTCCTCGGCCGCCATGTAGTTTCAGAGCGCATCGAGTTTAAAATACCATCTACAAGCTGATGCTGACAGCCCAGCTCCTGCCGCCCGCTTGTGGCAGACCACACTTCCACGCTCCCCGGCAGGCCCGGACTGGCCATCGGGAGGACCGGGAGGGAGGGTGTGTGTATGTGTGGCGCGAGCGAGGCACACTTTACGTGTTGTTGTTGTTAGCATCTGGTGCTAGCTAGCTGCGCTAACGGATATAAGGAGCTGTTTCAATGAAAACAGAGGAGCGACATTTCGCCGACAACTGCGCCGAGCACTTGACTTTATGCAGGTAGCCAGACAGTGGGACATTGTACGAAAAGTCAGCACACACATTGCAGCGTCCAGGCAGCTCCCGTTCGAGCATATATGCCTTGAGCTGCACATAGCTCCAACGATCCATCACAGTGTCTCCACATTCATTCACACACACACACACACACACACCACACACCACACACACACACACACACACACACACACACACACACACACACACACACACACACACACACACACACACACACACACACACACACACACACACACACACACACACACACACACACACACACACACACACACATTGTATGAGAGAGGTTCCAGGTTGAATTGAGGCGAATATTTGTAATGTTCAGGTTGTTGTGTTTAATATTCATGAGAATATTTGTCATTGTTCAAATGATAATAAACAAACATATAAAGCATATTTGTCCACTCATATGTTGATATGAGTATTACAAACTTGAAAAATATCCCTCTAAGGTACATTTAGAACAGATAAAAAATGTGCGATTAATTTGCGATTAATCGCGATTAACTATGGACAATCATGCGATTAATCGCGATTAAATATTTTAATCGACTGACAGCCCTAATTATCAGTAATCATTTGTGATACAGACACATTGGATTAACCTTCAGCAGCGGTTTTATCGTTTTAATGTCATTGAACACAACTTTTAATCAGAACAACAGCATAGGTAAGAATTTCTCCCGTGTTTGCTCCGTAATGCTACGTGTTGTGATGTCTATGTTTGCTTCCCCTGTCGCGAGTTCTGATCGCTCAGTGATGATCGCTCAGTGATGATATCTATATGTCTGGAATCTGTGGAATCTCAACTTGCTAATCGATATCTTGTTTGTGCAGATCCGATAAGTAATACGGGTATTTTACCTTGAGTTCTGTGCTAATTGGGTTAGCATTTTTTCACTCAGGGCTAATTCAGAGCATTTGTTATACCCTTTTGTTTCGTTTAGCTAAACATGGTTAATATTGTCTGATAGCTGAGTTTCTTTCCCGTTAAGTGAGTATGACACATTCATAGTTTATTAAATGTTAAGAAGCCCTCAGACGCTGTTTCTTGCAAGATGTTGCGTTTTGCCCCCGCCCGCGGGGCCGTGGGGTTTAACTGGTTTTAAACACTACATTTCCTGCATTCGGGTTCATTTTAAGGCAACATTGAATTTTTTTAAATCATAAGAATTCATAATATTAGTACTACCTGTCCTTTACTCTGCTCTGCATTATATTATTGTATGTATTATACATCTGCTGCCAAGGACTTTATGTCAGTAATATAAATGTTGTACCAAAGTAAAAAAGCACATTTTCACTGTGCTTTCACTCAATGTTCAATAATGAGGAAAACAAAATCGAGGCATATCTCAAAATAGATTTGTTTTCATGTTGTGGCCCTGTCTGCACAAACATCCAGGTCAGGACCTTCCCTTAGATAATCAAGCGCTCTCCCATGAGGTGCATTTGCTTTGAAACATTTATACGGCTTTAAACTGCACTGCTCACTGCCCATGTGCAGACTTTAAGCTGGTATCAGGTTGCGGGTGATCAGGCGTTAATATTACAGTGAAACTCAACGCCTCAGGCCAGCAGAGTGAGGCCTGGTAGCACGTCTGAAAACACTGACTGGCTGTGTGTGAGGGAAACACTGTTAGGGAACAGATTTTTAGATACTTTTTGATGAGCTCACATTAAGCATTGGTAGTATATTTTTATGTTTGCCATGTTTAACAAAGAACGGACAGTGTGAGATAAGACTTTACCTATTTTCCTGAAAGCTGCTTCTTCATGCAGGACTTAAAGCTGGTGAACTTCTCCTCCATCCTGACACCCTGCGAAGAGAAAAAGAGAAGACAGTGAGAGGAACATTCCCCACAGCCACTAGATGGCAGTATCATTTTACTTAAATCACTGCCTCGCAGGTGAGATGTGTTTCAGTAATGAGAAGTGGCAGGAGTGTAATTGAGACATTATGGTCTGGGAGTATTTAAGTCTACCACGACCTAAAGAAAAAAAGAGATATAATAAGTGCTTAGCTGAAGCTGTAATTGAACAGGAAAAGTGGTGTTTGTGAAGCTAATGGCTGCTTAAGTAGGCCTAATTGTGGGAAAGTACTCTGAAAATAAACATGTATTTCTGAGCATAAACCCATATTTCCCTTTTTTGCCCTTAACCCACTTGACTTTGCATCCACGTTTCTATCTGTGAGCTTTTTAGTGTCTGCGCTGGCAGATAAAGAAGTAGTTGGCAAAGACTGACAATGCAGCTAATGTCTCCCATAAGTCAGTGCTGCTGATGACACCTCTGTCACCTTCAGAGTAATAAAAGAGAGATAGATGCCATCTTTAATGGCCTCTGCTGTCTCACCCCCCCGCCGCGGTGCAGCCGGTCCTTCATGACGCCGACGAACTCCTTGTGGCTGAGTTTACCGTCGTGGTCCTGGTCGAAGATCTTGAAGACCGTGTTGACCAGGTGGCGGGTCAGCTTGATGCTCGTAGCCACGTAGACGGCGCGGGTAAACTCCTCTGAGAGGGGTGGAAGAAGAGGAGAAGAATAAATCACCACTGAAGAGAGGATTAGATGAGTACAGATGTATTTAATACAAATATTAACATTACTATTAGAATCTGAAATGCTCCTTCCTCCCAGAGTGGCGATATTTACAGAGTTACAGCAAATGGACAGGGCAGTTCAAAAGTAAGGGATAAATCAAATGGAGGAAGATGTGATGTGAATGTTATACAGATTGTTTTGTTTTCTAAGGGTTTTGATTGAGACAACATTTTAAAGTTTTTTGTCACCGGAAAGGTTGCTACGGAAACCCTGAGAGGCGAATGAAAATAATATTACACGAGATTATACTTGCACAACTTTTCACCTCTACTTAGGAAGCAGTTTTATTAATTATTATTGAAATGTTGCTATCAGAGAGTCTCTCTTCCCTCTCAGAGCTTTTGTCAATTGATAATCTCACAGATAAAAGAAGAAAAATAGAAAAACGTGTTGAAATTAAATGATCCTGTGACTCAATTTTAATGTTTGTACCCCCATAAAGTGACTAACACTGGACCTGAACTCCTCAAAAATCAATGCCTGTATTTGTAAAATGTAAAGCTTATGAAATGCATCATGCCAAACAAAGCGAACAGCTGCGTGTTCGTCAATTAGCTCGTATAATTCCCTGAATTCCAAACATTTTAATTAAGTAATTTCTCCAATATGTGTTCAGTAATATGGAACCCAAAAGCGGTCTTTATTTACGTTTTTAAAATGTAAAGTATGTAAACATGAAAATAATTCCACCATATTGTTATAATTGTCCATGTTTGCATAATGTAATTTGAGTAGAAATCTAAATAAAATACAATAACCCAATTAACATTTATATCATAACCATATTGACATTATAATTGTTGTCCATATCTATAATGTCACTACAAACTGAGACTCCACCTTGACCAATGGCGCGGTTGGCGAAGTTGTACATCTGCATGGCGATGGTAAAATCCTCCAGGTTGTTAAGGAACTGGAAGAAGGACCTGAACTCCTCAAAGGTGATTCCCTGCAAGGACAATAACAGCAGTCAAATAAAACGCCTTTATTTAAAAAACATAAAGCTTGTGAAATGCAACATGAGAAATCATAAAGTGGCACATAAAGCTAACGGCTGCATGTGTCAACACTCCGGCGAAGGATAGCGCTACAATTCACACAGCCCATAATCTGCCTCCTTTCATCCTGCGGGGGGGAATCCTTTAGTGTGTGTGGGACCTTGAAGCCATCAGATAGATAACACAGCCAAACAGACAGAGTATACATTGCTGGATTTTCCCTGCGCGGTATGGACACGCTGAGCTGTCAGCAGCGGGGGGAGGATTGTAGCTTTTTTGGGAAGAGGTCAGGCCGTTTGCAGACTTTTTCTAAAGCAGATTAACCTGATACTTGAATAAACAAAAACAACAAAAGTGATGAATCCCCAAACATCTCAGGCTTGGCTGATGACTCAAACAGTGAGCCTATTGATCTCCACTCAACCGTCCCGCGGCTACTAGCTCCTTCTCGCGCCGGGGGCCTCGCCAAACAGGCAGCGCACACAGCCGAACAAATGGAGTAATGACTAATCTGTGACGCTTTGCTGTTTTAACAAGGTGGGAGCCATAAAATATCTCTTAGCCGAACGATGAGACCCACTTGATGGTGAATGGAGATCTAGCAACGGGCTACTCCAGGAGCTGCTGGTGTCTTTTCAGCGTGCAGAGAGGAAAAACACATTAAAGCTAAAATGAGGATGCCTCACTCAACAGCTAATTCACAGAGCGGTACTGAAAGAACCGGGGGAATAAAATACTGCCATACTCACACAGACTTAGAACAGGGGGCAGAGCTTGCCTCATTTAGAGATCTCGTAGATTTGTGATCTCACTGTGAGTTATGCATGGAACGATATGTTGACAAAGCGCAGAAACGTCCTGTTATATTGTCGTCACAATGAGGTTGCCAGTTTTGGAACCACAGTGCCTGTACACTGCCTATATCCCACTGACAGTTTCTGGTGGCTATCTGAACTTCGGCCGGTGCAACAGGCAGACAGAAAAGCTGTTGTTTGTCAATTAGCTTCAATAGTTTGCATAAATCCACAAATTGTAATTCCAAATATTATTATTTCTATCCTATCAAAATTTAAATTTGTGTTCAGCAATATGGAAGCCAAAAGGGGCCTTTATGATAATGAATACTTAAAAAAAAAAAAACATTACGACTTTACACGTTTGTATCTGTTATATGATCAAGTGCTATGAAGGGACTGTGAATAACTATAGGAGGAAAGGAAAGGGTTACCTGACCCGGGGTGGACAAAATATCCTGAACTCCAATATAATTATTGGGCATCCAATTGAATCCTTCAGCCTTTGTGAATCTTATAAATCTAAAGAAAGTAGTTGATACAATTGTCTGCATTTTCTGAGGCTGTGGTTTTTGAAGTTGTATTGGATTACATCCTATTGTGAGGCGTAAGTCATATTGTGTCTACCCTTTGTACTTTAACATGAGGAATGGGAGCTGTCAGTAGAAGAAGTGACGACAAATCTGAAGGGAAACACCTTTTCGTCCGGCAGGCTGTGGCGCAGGTTCTCCAAGTACCCGCTGACGTCGTCCACGTTGGTGTAGCGAAGCAGGATCCGAGCAAAGTCTTCCTCGCTGATGGTGGGCAGGCCTTTGGAGTAGGAGAGGAACTCTATCTCAAGCACCTCTGTCTGCAGGTTGTCCATGAACCTGGAGGAGGAGAGAGACGCATTGCTGACAGGAAACGCCACCACCAGAAACTCACATGTACAAAGGAACACTTAACATGGTCACAAACAAAGCCACTCAAGGCTCCTGGAGGTATGAAAATGATTAATGGCCATATGGATAATGATTTTCGACAGACATTATCACAGAGAAGACAAAAGGTTTTTCAACTCACTCGTAAAAATCTTCAAATTTCAACTCAGCTTTGCCCTTCTTCCCAAAGAAATGCACCAGCAGGGTTGTCTCTATCTTTTCATCCACATGCTACCAGAGGGAAAAGGGATTCATTATGAGCTTTAAACGAAGACTCAGCCAAACATCTATAAAATGTGCACAAATTCTTAGTTGGAGCAACTAGGATGAGCTGTTTTCTAACATTTGTGTGTATCATGGTTATACCAGGTAAACATTAACAATGGCATTTATCTAGCCATGCTGAAAGCTTCAAGTAAAGATGCTAGTTAATACCCAGATTCTGCTATTGAATAGTTACTCAGAGTTAATGGTTAATCGTTCACTGTGAAAACCAAACAGTGGGCCAGCATTTCTCATCTCTGCAAGATACAATCACGTGCCATGCTACCGATTCGTTAAACATGCTAAAGAAATCTTTGTTAGAATTTTCTGTCCCTAAACTGATGCATAAATCAAAGACTTCTCCCTCACACAGTACAGACAGTGAGAACATACTGTTACTGTATAACCAGAGTAATGAGGGCAAGGCTACCTCAGTGAGATCAGAAAACAGAACTTGACTTGTGCCACGTCTGAGAACATCCCACATGCCTCGGGCCTCCACATGCTGACTGTCTTTTTTAAGAACCTGTGGCAGCAGTTGAATCAGATGTTAGGAGACAAGATACATGTAGCACATTTCACCGAGATTAGGAGGAGGAATATGGGCGGAAAAACAAGGAAACAATGAGGCAGGCAGGAGGACTGTACGGAAGCCCAGAGAGGCCAGTGGGATGAAAACATTCTGGTGATATATTATTTAAAGTGTGATTTAAAAAGTATTTTCCTGCCCTTTGTTTATCGATTCAGGATAATCTTTTGTATGTGTTGTTGTTTTTAAACGGAGAGGACACAAGAGGATAAGGTGCAACACTTCACCAGGTTGTAAATAGGACCATTTTAATTTGTCCATGCAATCTAAACACATTTTGATGAATAAAATAAATGTCTTGTCAAAAGAAAGACATGACAATAATGTTACATATAATGTTAACATTATAACACATAATACATGTACCTTGTGATTATCATGGACAAATTGATCACCTGGAAAAAACATGAATGCTTTAAGGTCCTTTTCAGAATATCGGGCAGTTTTACAAAAAAAATGATTTGCAAAACTTTTTTTTACCTGTTTCTCAAATGAATGTTGTTTTGTAATTCACTTAAAAATATTATCCTGCAAAACCCTCATACACAGAAAAAAAAATAAAACTGCATATTTTCTTTTCTCACTTGCCTCTCAGGGCCTCCATAGCACAGACATGTACATACTGAAGCAAGACAAGGAGTCAGACATTTTCAGAAGGCAAAGAATCAAAAAATCAAAGACCCTGGGACAGATGGACTGACATCCATCCACACTCAAACAGGCAGACACAGAGTGGGGCTGACACCGGTGGATCTGAGGGCCCATTAGCCCCGCATGAGCCAGCTCTGCAGCCATGCATGCAGCCTGTTGGCAGGACATGGAGCCAACACCGCTAACACATGTCCAAAGCATGCAGGGCGTGAGAGCTGAGGGGAAACTGAACCCTTCCAGTACATCATCATTTGATGCTACAAGCTAAGAAGTACACATCTTTCACCTAGCGTTGTGAAATCGGTTCAAAGGAGTCGAACCATATCAAAGTGAATGGTGCAGATTTAACCAATTCAGTACAATTCACAACATTTCTGTCAACATAACTAATGCTCAATGGTGTCTTGAAAAAAACGAAGCCACAATTTTGTTCTCGATGAGGTCATGCTCCTGATCTCAGATTAACATATCATTATCTTTATTACAGTTTACACTGCTGCGCTCACTCTGTATAACTACAGCTACACTGAAACACACACATGTTCTTGTAATAAGTGTTATAAGCAAAGAAAGATCACAGGACATCTATCTTGAGAAGTCAAAAACTAGAATTTCCACTAATGTTGTTGCCTCTCACTCTCATTTTGTTTTTCCAACCTATCATTTCCTCGGACTAGATGTTTCTCAAGTCTCGACATCACCTCATTCAACATCAGCTCACACACCGCGGAGCGGGAACAGCTAGCTGCCTCCGTCGACACGTGTTCTTAAGTATGGCTTGCTTCGCTTCGTAATATTTATTTTTCTTATCGACAGTTTTTTTTTTCATCTCTGCAGAGCCTGAGGGCGAATGTATGTGAGGCAGCCGATAAAACAGCTCTTCCTCTGCGCCGCATCGCCTTCCACCAGAGAGAGATTTACGACATGATCCCACAGCTAATTACTGAACAACCTTTTAATGCACCGCGCTGCCTGTTCCCATCTCCTCCCATGAAAAGATCTTGTAATTAGAATACGCTGGGGAAAGCCCGACCGCAGCACTGAACACATGCCTGTTGTGTGTTTCTGACTTTTGAACTTTCTTTCTGGAAAGATACCTGCACAAATCACAACAAAGGCAAGACACACCTGAAGGTAGAGTGTTCAAAAAGATGTCCCTCTGTTAGCCTCTTCTATGTGAGTGCTTTTCACAGTTATCCTCCCTGACTGGCATCTTCATGGTCAAACCCATCACAAAAGGTAACATGAGACCAAATACCGCTCCTCTAGAAACTGTAAAAATAAAACATGGGGGTCCGGGTGAAACGTTGTCAGTCCACAGGTAAGAGCTTTTTGAAGTGGAATCTCTCGCTGACAAAAGGCGAGTACATAAATCATCTCAGCTACCACACACTAAGACAATGTGTCACTAAATGCTGGAGCACACAGCGGTTTACTTCGATTCAAGTGAATGTGAAAAGGGTTATCTTTGGTGTCAGCCCCCGAGATGCATGTGTGCAAAGAACAGGTTTGGAGGAGCACATGCCAAAAAAAGACATGCAACAAGCAGTTCATTTTCCTTTTAGGGAAAGAGAACAATACATACACTGTGTGGCTGGGATTTGGGTTGACCGTACAGCTGCAGGCTCTGAAGGAAAGGAGAGGGAACTCATTTTAGAGCAATGCATCGTTATGTCTCCAAATCTCGAGTGCCCATTCTAATGATCTTTTTGATGCTTATACGGGCGTCAGATTAATGCAAGACTGTCCAGAGATGCTAACATTTGTCCCGGCAGAGTTTAAGCTCCTCCATGTTGTGTTTGAGCGATAAGACCTCAAAGAGTCGCTCTTATCGCTCCATTCAGCTCTGCCTGTTTACATCCACCTGCATGCGGCACAAGACAGCCCCGAGGAGATGAAAGGGTCACGCATGTTTTACCCTGTTTGACCACATTCACCTCAGTACAGCCCGGCTTCTCTCGAGGAACCCTAAACCCTGTCATGTCAGACATTGGCTGAACTGTAAGATTCAGGTCAATGGCAGGGAGCTTCTCGACATGAGGGAAATACATATAAATAAACAGATATTAAAGTGTACTCAAAGTGTTTGTATTTCAAAGAAGAAGTAATATTGCATTCTTTTTCGATTTGTTGATGACGCAAGTTGACATCATGATGATGATACACAAACGAAATTGTACAATCCTAAGCGCCATTGAGCTTTTTTAATGAACAATACAGTAAAAAGGACTTGTTTTCAAAGGTGTCACTCGTTGTGACTAACCCTGAGAGAATCACCTGACTGTAGTCCCTGTCAGCTGTTTAGAGATCTCTTACCTTCGGAAAACTACTCTGCGTTTCATTTACCTTAACTGGAAGTACAACATTGGAGTTTGGACTCCCAAAATCCATCAAATCAGACAAATGTGAAATATCTGTTCCAGCCAGGTGAATTACACTGTACACGTTGATGCAGATATGTTGACATGAGTTGTCTTTCATAAGAAACAAATAAGAAAGAACTGCTATGAAGAGATCATTTCACGCAGCCATCTTGGATTTGACCCAGACTTTCCGAGTTGTGTCTCAGACTTAAAGGTGGGGTAGGTAAGTTTGAGAAACCGGCTCGAGATCGCTAGAATTTGAAAATACACAACCGGAGAAAATCTGCCACTTCCTTATAGAGCCCCTCCTCCAACACACACGAACGTGCACATGACCAATGAGGGCACGAGATAAATTTGTGCACAGATGGAAGGCTGACAGGCAGGTAGGCCATCCAGTTATTTTAGCCGGGCCGGCTAATATGATTGGTCGTGCTTTTTACAGTATTACGGCTTCCACAGATGACATTTTTGTATGGATTTTTTGTCAAAGCACTTAAGATATTCATTGCTATCGGGATGTTAAGAGCATTCCATGGAATATAACAAAAAGTGTATCTCGAGCCGGTTTCTCAAACTTACCTACCCCACCTTTAAAGGGTGCATTCCAGTAGAAATGTGGAAGATGTCCGGCTTAAGGTTAGCTAGTAGCTACATTTGTCTGACATTTGGTTTTGAGAGCTTTTGAATGCTGAAAACAGCGGCCTGCTACAGTTGGAAAAAAGGTGGATAGTATTCATTTGAAAGCCACTCATACCTGCTGGTCAAATCTATGCACGTCATCAGCAACTTCCTTTCTCTCCTTCTTCTTACGGAAAATGTGTTCCAGCTGGTGAGAAGATTAGGTTATTGTGCAGAATGTAACAAAACACTTCAAATGCATTGCATTGTATATGATCATCAAACGAGGCTCATACCACCAAGAACTCCTTTTTGTCCACCATTTCGTTCCCATCTGCATCAAACATGTTGAACGCAATCCTGAAGCCTGCATGGGGCTCTGAAATCAAAACAGTCATCTCTTTATCAATGAATCATTTTCTAAAAATATTTCTGTTTAAGTGAGTTTGAATATATACCTACTTGTTAAAATGCAGATCAGGAAGAGGTACTCTGTGTAACTGATGACACCTGATGACAAAAGAGAAAAGGCTAGGAAACAAAAACCTTAATGTTCCCCTTTCTAAACAAGACAGCATCAAATAGTGTTCACCGGTAAGCTGAAGGTGTTTACATATGTTCAAAGTCATGCGCCCGAGATGAATAAGCCATCCAAAGAAACGCCTTCAGACAAGAGTAATCTTCTCGCGCTCCCTGATAGCATCTTAAAAGGTGCCTTTTACTTCATGCTTGGTGTTGCCCAAACACAAACACAGGCTTTACAACTGAGCTGACCGATCTGGACACAAACCCAAACACATTTTCGGCCCACGGCTTCTGATCCTGTTTGGGGTAACAAGGTGTAATACATTCTCAAGTGATCTGTCACTGATTTGAGAATGGCCGATTCAGGTTGTGTGTCGCGTCCTTCAGCTCCCTTTGTTGTGTGACACGGAGAAGGGAAGAGTAAGTGTCAGGAGGAGACATCTCAGTCGACTCGGGAGGCTTCTCCCCTCTGACTCTGAAAGCATTCCCAAGCTTTTGTTTGCTCGGGGAAGATAGAGAATCGAGCGCAGATAGTTCTGGGTGACTGCTCTGGGTGTTATGGGAACTGGAATCAGGTACGAGGGTTTGCTGCAGGGAGATATTTCAGACTGGAAGAGGGGAAAAAATGGCGAACAAAGATGTCGTTTTGACTCTGCTTTTCCTTTAGAGGCTGGAAATAAGCTGCTAAAAAGATGATGTTAAGGCAACTGAAACAAACTCAGGTGTGAAAAGAGATTTAGTGATGCATGCCATTAGACATCTGAAAAAAAAGGTTCTTGTCATCCCATCTCTCTCTGTTTGGCAGGTACGGCCTTATAATGACAACAGATCTCTGGCTTCAAAGCCTTTAAAGCTTAAATGGGTGGAAGAAAGAACAAAAACACTTTTAAGATTCCTGCCATGTTTCAGCAATACCACACACCTTCACTCCTGGAGGGAGCCCCCCCTCCTCCTCCTCCTCCTCCTCCTCCTCCTCCCTGCAGCTCAGCCTCTGAGCTCAAGTAGATGTTGTTAGACAATACAAAGAATTCCACAGAAACACTTCATACAGAGTGGCAGTCCCGGAGATGTAATCCAATGCCATTCTTAGGCTTCATAATGTCCGCGGTGATCAGGGGGGTGGCCGGTGGGACATGTCTCGACATAGCTGGGTTCAAACAGCTCCCTCATTCTCTAAAGCGACGCTTTGTTCGCAGATCAATCCAGCCCTTTTTCCCTGACAAAGCCGCCACGTTTAACAGCAGGATTAAAAGCCCCAAATCCCAGCATTGGCACTTAGCTAAAGCAACAGAGGAGGGAGCAGAACAGTGAGATGTGATGCTCCACTGGCTCGTATGACCTACTGAGGCCCAGGTGGGAACATCGGAAAGATCCTTAGTCACTCAGACAACTTCATTTTCTTCATGAAATGTTATTTTGGATCAAGGTTTGCAGGTGATCATTACACAAGTCGCATAAGGGAGAATAAGGTGTGAAGACTCCAATTGTGCTTTAACAGTTTGTATTATGCTCAGTAGTAAAAAAGGGAAGCCAAGCTAAATATATACTGTCATTTGTATTAGTTTCTCCTGTGGCCCCCATTTATAATGTTATGAACCTGCGTAAATCGTAATCGGTGGTTATCGGTACCATTCTAACACGTCAGACATCTGATTACGTGCCTAGGTTGTTAAAGTGTGACCGTTGTGAAACTGAATAAAACTGATTGAACAGAATAACTACAACTTCTTTCAGTTCAGACATCAATATACTTGGTTATGTTTAGGAAAAGATTGAAACGACATCTTGCTGCTTAACCATGTGAATCTATGACACAGTAGTTGCTGTAGCAGCCCCCTTGTAACCCACATCTATTAAGCTGTTAACCAATGACAATGCAGATGTAATCGCCGTGTACTATTCGGGTGCCTGTCTAGGCTTTTATGGAGATTTGTGGTGCAAAACTTTATTTGAGTCAGCCTTATTTTAAATCCATTCGTTTAGAATCGTTTCCAACTGCTAAAGAAAACGTTTGAATTTGGATATATGGCAAATATAGAAGTTGTTAAATAAATTGATTACAATGAGTTGCTAGTGTAACCTAGAGAGTATAATAGTTATTTCCAGGAAAAGTCATAGTTTTTTTGCATTTTGTATTCAAGAAAGCAGGAAGAATCATTATGTATTTCATCAATAGCAGTCCCTCCTGCAGAGGTTACCTGAGAATGAATCTAGATGTTAGCGACTGATGGAGAGATAAGATAATGTTTACAACACACTCACTGCTCTGGATTATACGAGGATGACACACAACAGTGCACACTCTGAACAAAGCATGCAGAGGAATTACTTCAATTCAGTGGATTCATGTGCTGAGCTGTGGGTTAGCTCACCTCGTTCACGCAGATTTCTAAACAAATTGGATGATCCTTTCCAAACAGGCGGGGTGTCAGCCAGCATCTTGTCTAAATCCTGAGAGAATAGAGGGAAATCCCAAATCACTCATTCATTTCTAAATCCGGAGTAATCACAGCGTAACGCGGTGTTTGTGGGAATGGCAGTAATTACAGAGGTTTCACACAGAGGAGAGGAAACAGTGCTTTGATGACAGAGAGAATCTCACCTTGTTTGTGAGGGACTTCCATGCTCTCCTACCTAAACACACAAAGTGAACAGTCAGTGTGTGATATACTGAGAATTCAAGTACAAGTATTTTTACTTGAGTATTTCCCTTTGATGCTTTAAACTTACAGATGCTACTCAACTACATGTATCTGTGTATCTCAATTTATAATATCCTGTCAAGTAAACACAAAACAAATAAAGTAAATAAACAAAAGGATGGAGTGTTTCTTTATAAGTTAAGAACGTATTTCAATTATTTTATATACACTTTTTAAAAAGACTCTTGGGTCAGCTGGAAAATGCTTTGTCAAAACGCTGAAAACAGAGCTATTTCTCTCATTAAAAATGAATTTGAAGAGATAAGTGGTTAACAAAAAGCTTCAAACATGATGACCTTATAGAGAATGATGCACCACTTAAACTATTAAACAGTTTATACATGATGTCAAATAAGAAAAACCTTAAGCAGCAGTAAAAGGCCACAAAATGCAGGCACTTATATGAATCCTAAATCAACATATATATATATATATATATATATATATATAGTCAAACTCAGGGATTCTGAACAGTGACTTCTTTCACTTTTGATACTTTAATACTTTAAGTATCAAAAGTTAAAGAAGTCACTTATTTACTTAAAGTTGAAGTAAATGTTGCTGTTAATACTTACAAACTTTAACTTGAGTTTTTGAATGTAGGACTTGTAGTGGATTGATTTCACAGGAAGTACTTAAAGACATATAAAGGATCTGAATACGTCTTCCACTACTTATGAATATAATAGTACGCTTTTATCTGGAATTCTATATGAGGAAAATAGAATTGGGAAACAGAAGTGAAAACAGGTGTTTATGTGGACAGAAACACAAGCTGTGTATCTCCATGAACGCATTCCGATGGTCAATAAACCAGCAGATAAGATAAGGCACGGATAACAGTGACAATAACCCTCGTCTGACACATTTTAGAGCCTCTGTCTGAACCTGGGATTATTGTCCACCAAAGAGAGTGAGCGTGTTTTCCTCATTAAAGTTTCATAACCATACCTTATGGATCTAATATGAATAATTGACATGGCAGCACTTTTAGTTTGGACTGTAATGGTTCTACATTTCCACCGTCCTCTGCTTCATTTCTTCACCGTCAAACACATCCACAATATAACCATAACACATTCAGATCACTGTGTGGCAACACATCAGCCAGGTCAATTACTCAGCATGCCGATACATTAGAGCCTCTTATTTACCTTCCTCATTAGATTCCAGTGAAGACATGTCCAACACATTACAGCGTGCCACACACCTTCCATCATAATCAATCACAGTAATTACAATGTGTTATCGGTACATTTATGACAGTTGTTTGGTCTCTCCGGGTCTCTGCGAGTTTGTTGCCACATAAATGAGCCATAAAAGTGGGGTTGCTGGTAAAGATGCCTATCTTTATGCAGGTGTTATGACTGAAGCTCTGCAAGCTGCAACTTATTGTCTGAGGATGACACTTCACAGGCCCTCAGCAACATGTCAAGTTCCAGGAAAAAACTCTTTTTTTTTCTAAGTGGAGAAAAGCGGGTTTATCTGATGACTTGACAGAAGTGTTATTAGGTCAATGGTTGCTCATTAGAGAGGACATGGACTTACCTGACTTACTTCACTCTGAAAGAATGATTGGTAGCTAAACTCATTTGAAAAAAGGACATTTAGTTGGGAGGTAGTGAAACGTTGGCCTGCAGAAAATGATTATTTTCAGCATCGATTCATCTGCAACTTAATTTCTTGATTTATCATACAGTCCATAATATTTCAGAAAATTGTAAAAAAGGCTATCCAAATGTTTTGAAGTCAAAGGTAATGGCTTTCAATGTCTTGTTTTGTCAGTGATATTCAGTTCAATATGATTTAAAACAGAAAAAAGCAGTCAATCTCCATGTTTAAGGGACTGGAAACAGCATTTTCTGACATTTTTGCACGACAAATGACTTTCATTTTAAAAGATGAGTTAACTTTAAATAACATCACAGTCTTTTTATTCTGCCTTTTTTCGAAAAAGAAAAGAAGCAGGAACTTTCTTAGGAAATCACAAAATGGTGTTTTAACAAGAACAAAACAGGATCTTAAAATAGACCTTGATCTGTTTCATCAAAAGAAATGGACGAGAAATCAATGGACGAGAGAAAAACACTCCGATTTAAGAAGCTATAAAACAATTAATTAATGAATCGTGAAAACTGTTGTTGGTTAATCTTCTGTCAGCCCCCTTCCTCCAAGGGGTGTTCAGTATTATTGGAAGGAGCTGAGTAATAGGAGTACACTCACTCTTTGGTTCATTCAAAGTGACGGACTCCAGGAAGTTGAGTGGCGTCATGTAGAGCTGGCCCTCGTGCTCCACCGAACTGAACTGGCGAAATCTGTTTTCATTGGTCGACATGTACACATCTCCATCGTCCAAACCATAGGTCCGCGCCTGTAAACCCACACACACACACACACACACACACTATCATGAAATACTTCAAATCATCTGTACAGTGATAATACCGTCTGAAAGATGCTTTTTGTGAAGCTTTTCTTGTCACGAAGGGCCTCGCTCACAGGGAACAACAAAGAGGCCGATGCTTTAATTCAGTAATGGGGTGCATGTTATGTCAGCCCTATTTCTCATCCCTGTGCGCCAGATAATGTCCCTACAACTGTTCAAACCAGCCAGATCAGAAGGCAGGACTGGTGAGGACTGAGTGGATCTCTCTGTCAGGTGGCACAGCGCCAGGTCCACTGGGCACAGAGCAAACACCCAGGGAATGTGTGCCCCCCTCTGCTTAACCATTAAACCCCCTCTAACCACCCCCGCCTCTCATCAAATGTCAGCCCCTCAGCCAAGAGGCCAGTGTCCAGTTTCCTGTGTCCCTGGATTCCTGCTGCCTGTATGGACAGCAGGCAGGCTTTCCTCACTCCAATATGAAACAAGGAAACGTGTGTAGCTGTGTGAACAGACCCTGGTTTACATGTTTGTTTACATCCCCTGTGATCTATGAAATCCTGTAAACAACGTCAACACATGTCTGAACTCTAGAGACTTGCTGTAGCAGGGCTGGCATGTAGGCCAATCGGGAGTAATAGACAGGGGGTAGACACAATAACGTATGTTGATCAAAGCATTACAACCCTGATGTTAATAGCTAAAGTAGTGTTGGAAAGATAAGCTAATTCATTAAAGGAAAGAAAAGTAATGCATGAACAATACTTTAAATAATTGATCACTAAGGTGACAGGTTTCTCAAAAACAGGTGCCAATATGTCCTGGTCTTCAGGGCAGCAGCTAATGGTTACTTTACTACTGATGATTCTATTAAGTTGTTTGGATTAATCAGTTTGATGGAAGTAGGTGGCGCCAACAAATGTCATATACTATTACTTAAAATAGAGAATACAAACTGGAAAGAGTGATAGTTTCTTGGAATAACTAATAGATTAATTGACTGCTGTAAATTGAATAACTTTGTATTTAGAAAATGTTGTTGAATAAAACAAGAAAACTGACAATGTCACGTTGAGCTCATGGAAGTTGGGATTTCACTAGTGTCTTGTGTTTCTTTCTATAATTACGAATCATTCAAATTAATAAGGAATGGATAAATAAATATGATTTGCCCACCTCTCTTGATACATAAAGGGTGTACGATAATAACAATATAGGTATCTCCAAAATGAACAATACATTTGAATTAAAAACTCTCTCATATAATGTGAACATAACATTAGTGGTTTCTCAAAGCTACAGCTATTTGAAAGACTATAATATTACATGTATGTTGTTCATTAGTCCAGCTGATACTAACCATGAATTCAGTGTATTGTAAACATATCTACCATGAGTTTTTTCTCTTAATGTTCCCAAGGCTAATACTTAGTTATTATACGACATATACGCAGAAAACGCAGGCAACCCCCTCACTTATGGTAGCAATTAGGTCACGTGATCTGACTATTTTGCCTGTTCAGCACCAAAGGTCGGGATAGCTCCTCGTAGCGACGTCACATTAATGTAGTTTCACGCGCACACAATATGATAAAGGCTAATTGTGATGGAAATGTAGATGCCCCGACCATTACTGTCAGCATATGTTCATTTGAGACACAAATGAAAGGAAAATGGAAGCGTTTTTACACGACAGTGTTCCTGTTAGACTATAATATGTGAGATAAATGAAGCTGCGCAGCTTGGCAAATGTCCCACTGTACCTTATCGGTGGCAGAGACTGATGGCAGCGCCAGATGAAAGAGTCGAGCCCCGACATGGCTATTCAAGCCGGAGCGCCTGTACGAGCAGCAGTAGTAATAATAGTAAGCAGCCCCGGCCGCAGCGGTTCCTACGGAGACAACTTTCAACAGTTTCGTTGCTTTCTGCGTCGTAAACGTCCCTGTCTTGAAGCTAAGTAAAGGGATAAGCCTGCGCAGGGCAGCCATGGCTGTTTACACTGGTGTCGTAACCGATAACACACTCACTCACGGCTAAGAGCAGCTCGCGCTCAAGCTGCCTGCTGCTGCTGCTCCGAGCTCGCGAGATATGCCGTGGGTATTTCAAGTCGCTCTGGGATTGCAAGGCGTCAGATTCGTGAGAGTGAAGGAAATGTTCAAATCTTTAGACAAACATAGAAACACACTCTGACTTATTTCTTATGTCTCATATTGATTTTAAGTGTCATCTTTTTTTGGTTACATTTTTTATTTGGGTTTTAAGTGATGTAATAGCTTAGTTTAAGCCCACAGCCCACCAACAACTATCTCTCTCTCTTTATATGCCCTTAGGAGAAGGGGGAGAAAAAAATCCCTGCCAGGGCACGTCTGAACTGTGACAGCCCCGCCCATTACTAGTCCTGTGGTTTTGCACCTGCCTCACCACCCCTGCCACTTTGAGCGCAAAACCTCCAGGAGCTCCTGTACCTGCACTGCAGCGTTTCCTCAGCCCGCACCACTGAACCCAACACTGCCGTGTGCCCTTCACGGCTCCACCGAGGCATCACGCTGTGAACAGGTATGCTACACAAGGGTTATCTGAGCGGAAACTGCAGCATACCCCCAACTGATGAAGACGCAGCGGTGTGAAAAAGGAGAAAAGAGAGAAATCAGTGCACCCAGCATCGGAGATATTGTGAGTGTTTATATGTAAGGGGTGAGAACTCCGTGTAATCGCACTACGGGTGCATGTGCTAAGTAACGGGGGACGTAAACATGCAATAAGTGGAAGTGGCAACCAGGTAGTGTACTACGCACGAGCGCTCGCTCCGGACCTCCTCACTGAACTTTACCCGCTGAGCTTTGACGCGATGGCTGCTGCTCTGGGGGAAGTTGGAGGCGTCTTGCACGGCATCGATGGTGTCCCACAGGTCGGGTCCACTTTCTTACTGACCCCTCCCGGGGACAGTCCGACCCTTCTGGGGGAGCACTTCATGATGTCCGGGGACAGGCTCTCGCGCAGCACCGCGGCGGATTTAACGCACCTCAAAGGGATTCTCAGGAGGAGACAGTTATACTGCAGGACTGGATTTCACCTGGAAATACTTCCGGATGGCTCGGTGCAAGGGACGAGGAAGGACCACAGTCGTTTTGGTAAATACTGAGGGATTCATTTTTGTATATATTTTGGTAGCAAACTACTAGAAGGAAGTAAAGTGCATGGCCACAGTTATACAAATATCAAAATGTTAAGCAACAAGAAAATGGTGAATAAGAATAATGCCAATAACAATCTTGTCATATAATTCTCTTCTTTTTAAAATATATAAATTGTGACAAAGTACTCCTAAAGGAGCTATTTTATAATATTATTTCATCCTTGTCAAAGTCTGTACTGAGCACCTGTGTTATTCTTCTCCAGGTATTTTGGAATTCATAAGCCTTGCTGTTGGATTGATAAGCATTCGAGGGGTGGACAGTGGACTCTATCTGGGGATGAACGACAAAGGAGAGCTGTATGGATCTGTAAGTACCTGCTTTGCTTGTTAATGTCACCCAAATCCTTATTTTTGACCATTTGATGGCACACAAGGAGCTTTATTTGTTATTTATCAAGTTTCGGGAATTTAGTTCAGGATGTAAATTAAAAGAAACTATGAATATGTGTTTAATTTCTGCATCACTCTCTTCTTTTTCAGGAGAAGCTCTCAGCTGAATGTGTCTTCAGGGAGCAGTTTGAGGAGAACTGGTACAACACATACTCGTCCAACCTCTACAAACACGGAGACAGAGGGACGCGTTACTTTGTGGCATTAAATAAAGACGGGACACCAAGGGACGGGACTAAATCCAGGCGGCACCAGAAATTTACACACTTCTTGCCCAGGCCTGTGGACCCTGACCGCGTGCCGGAGCTGTACAGGGATATCCTGGGACACAGCTGAGGCCTGGGGGCCCGGTCCAGTTCAGGAATAGCTGCTAAAGCCCTGGCAGGCAGGGAGCAGAGAAGAGGAGAGGGACCCAGGCAGGGGTGTGCCCGGTGCAGGCTGGGGGACAGCAGCCCGACCGGCAGGGATAAAGGCACCGGGGCCTCTTGTAGGAATGCATGGGCCATCTCTCAGCAGCCAGGAAGACGGCTCACGCTCGGCATGAGGGGCTTGTTTGTCTCACAGGGCCGGACGACCCTTAAAGTACCTGCGTGGAATAGGAGACGAATGGGAAACTGATCATGGGGCATCTCCTCTGGTCACACAGGGTCCATGGGAATCTGTCGAGTCATGAAATAGTACTTTAATTTAGTCAGAGAGCCGTCGTTTGTTCAGAAGGACTTTGAAGGAATTCAGTTTTATTTTGTTTTCTTACCTGTGTCTCAACCTGTTTGTAAAGAGCAAAAAGTGTAACAAATTATTTATTCATTTTTAGATACATATATTTATGTTATATATTTATTTATTTGAGAATATATATTTTTACAGTTAGATACAAGCAATATAGGAAAACCACTAGAGACTGTATCGATTATATAAAGACTGAGACACTGTACCATTATGTCTTTTATTCAGAAAAAAAGCTCAGCTATAGTGAGATACTGTAATCATTTCAAAAATATGAAACATATTGGCAACATCTGGAAACAGCCCCACGTATGTGATAAAACGTGCCTTTTATCGCAATATGGCAACTGTGAATCCATTTTAAAAATAATCTTTGTAATGTTGACATTTTAATTCTAACCAAACTACTGTTACATGTGTTAAAGGAGGAATCTGAAGTCAACAAATTGACTTATCAAACAATAAATTGTTCAAAATGTGATCAAAATGCTTTTTTTGTCAGCCTATTTGATTAGAAATGAGGGTATTTTGTTGGTATCAACTTATAACCAATGTTTCCTTAAACAACCCATATTTTTCTTTTAACAGAGCAGTATTTAAGACAAGCAAGCTTTATTGGTTGCCTTTGTCTTTCAGAGTTTAAACATATAAACCGGCTTACGAGACCAATGTTGTCTTTCTTTATGGACGCCATTACGCCGAGAGAGGAGTCGTAGACCTGGAGCATGCATAAAACTTCAAAGGCTCTGTCCTGAACGTAGAGGCCGAGCAACAACATGATCAGGACCAAATCAAATCTGACCTTTAGCTCGAGTTCGCAACTTTAGCAGCTGTATAAAAGTGGAGGTCAGAGCGATAAGGATTAAGTAACCTCTGCTGACAGTTTGAGAATGATGGGGAAATGTCTTATAAAGTGTATATTTGTGTACAACATTTTTACCCAAAAACAAGCTAACCAAAAGTTGGAGATAGGAGGTACAAAGCAGCTGAATTACTCATTTATTTCTGAGAAGCGTGCACAGTTTCCTCCACGGCTGAGGAAAGATCTGTGTCGAAGCATGAAAGCTCAGCCTGTGATCTCAGTGTGTGATGGCGAGCCAGCGGGGGTGTATCAACCAGCCAACTCTCTCCTGTCTGCACCGTGATACTGTGGGACTTTCCCACCTGCACATCTTGAACATCTTCTGTCGTCGATTAATGACAGCACCTTCCAGTGTATTATAACCTGCGTGCGCGTGGACATCCCCCGTCCAGCGGGTAAACACACGCCAAGCCTTTAACAACATGAAACAGGACTCTGCCGCTTGTTTTCGGAAAGATGCTGTCACTGCTCGTCTTTCCTTAGCTTCAGATAAAAGTTAACAAGCGTGAAACTGATGGACGGGGCGTGCTTCATTCCTGTCCCGTCCCATCTTTCCCAAACTGAAGAGCGTGTTGCTGCAATACTCGGCCATGACTTTGACCTGCAGCTTCCTTGTTGTTGTGTCATTTTCAAGATACCAGACAGTTCTTGCACACTGTTGTTTTTACCTGCAATCAACTTTATTGAGAAATACAACGTTTCAGTCACGTCAAAGTATTTAACTTGTCTTGGACTCGTGCCTTGCTGGTCTCGGAATTGTCTTGGGTGTGACGCATAAAGAAACTGAATAAGCATTATGGGCTTTTAACTTTGCTACATTTGCTGTTTATACCTTCATTACAACTAGTCTGTTGTCTACTATTTTGCCTGCATTAGCAAAATGAGTTACAGATGTGATTACGCAGTTACTCAAGAAAGCAGAGACTTAGGTTCGGAAAGACACTTTTGACTTTTATGGTCTTGTACAGGACTCAAATTGTTCTGGATTCAGATTGGACTTGGTCTCGATCCACTTTGGATTTGGTCTTGATTAGGAATTAATTAAGTCAGTCTTGGTTTTCGGTCCTTTTACCTTTTATCTTGCAAAGGACCAAACCATATTTTCTAATTAAGTTCATTGCAGGTAAACGGAAAGTGTGCGAGAGTCTTCTCCTTTCTTCTCTTGGATCTTTTTGACAGCTAACCCTAACCCTAACCCTAACCCTAACCCTAACCCTAACCCTAACCCTAACCCACAAATTGAAAGTGTGTACAAGCCTTCTGTCAAGATGTTTGGGGTCCTTCCACCACCCTTGTGCAATTAAAAAGCAGACTTTTTGCAGATGTAACCACCTCCACCCCCTCTTCAACCCCCCTTTTGAAGGTCATCCCTTTAGACAAGCTGGAAATCCTGACTTGTGATACCTGATGCCCAGAAGTACTCCCCGGCACTTGTGTAACCAATGTTTTCTGAGTCTACAAGGCCCTGAGACAGATGCTTTTGTTCCCCCTCCTCCAGGTGGTCTCCTCTCTGAAAACACTTAAACCCCTCATCCACACACACTCTGGAGGGCCGTCTCACACGCTTAATGGACACTCCCGGACTTTCATCGCCTCCTCAGCGGCGACCTTAAAGGGCTCTCGAGGAAACCCAATCAAGTGTGTGTGTGTGTGTGTGTGTGTGTGTGTGTGTGTGTGTGTGTGTGTGTGTGTGTGTGTGTGTGTGTGTGTGTGTGTGTGTGTGTGTGTGTGTGTGTGTGTGTGTGTGTGTGTGTGTGTGTGTGTGTGTGTGTGTGTGTGTGTGTGTGTGTGTGTGTGTGTGTGTGTACTGTATATGGCATGGGTCCAT